AAAAAAAACAAAAAAGTAAAATAAGAGGTAGGTAGAGAAAAGAAGAAAACAAACCAAAGGATCGTGATGCCAGCTCCCTCTGACTTCTTCCATATTATTCAGACATCCAGACAATTACCTTATACCCCTCTCCACTTTCCAGACCCTTCACAGCAGAGACCCTGGGTTCCATTTCTTACAACCTTTTAATATTTTCCAATACACACTTTCAACTGGGTAATACACACATCATGTTTTCCTCATTATTATTAGTCAGTCAATAAATATACAAAAACTAGAAAAGGATAGGATAGTCTCTGAAAAATCAAAAGAACAATAGAAATGCGCATAGTACATACTTAGCAATTGGCTATGTTTGTAAAGTCAACACATAGGACTTACACAAAGACACAGGACATCATAGTGGGCAATCCCTGTTCTTATGAACATTTTAATTTTCTAAAGAAGGTGGCTGTTTCTTCTACTTTGTTGTGACAGTCTTGGATGGATCTTAGCTAAAAAGCCACTTCTTGGTATTTTGGATGTCAATATAAAGCTTTTTAAAAGTTCTTCTGGAAACATCCATTTTATCTAGTTAAAACATACAAAATATACACATGAAAGTGTCTTTCACCTCATATGATTTTTACCCAAGGCAAACTGAAGGAAAGCCTTCAGGATACATGAGAGATTTATAATTGTTGGTAAGAGAACACTTTAAGTGCTCCTAGTACTTTACAAAATCACTAATTTCCAGCCTATTATTTTTATTAACAAGACCTCAGTTCAGTGACTTAGCTCATATCACCTGGCAAGTCATTGGTAGGAGTAACACAAAATCAGATTGTGCGACCAAAATCATCACCACTGTGGCAAACAATATCCTACCACAACCCAACTTTTGAACATTTCTAGAATGAGTGGGGAATCATCTCTAGCTCTGAGTCTTGCATGACCCTTCTTGTGCCCTCAAAGGGCATCGGGGGTCATGGAGAGCTCGAGCTCTTTTATGCCCAATCCCAGAGTGGCTTGCTGCATACAGATTAAATATCTCCAGGGAGCCTGTTGTGGGTGTGATAGGCCAGGACAGCTCTAAGCATGGGGAACATTCTAATACCAGTGGAAAATAGCAAAACATCATCTAGTGTCTATTTGACCAGGAAAACCAGGTATCTAAATATGGAACTGGCTAATAGTATTCACAGAGAGAGAGAAAGTCTGGGAAAGCCATGGCTGGGCAGAGGAGGAGGGAGGCTGGAATGTGATTAAGGGGAGCTGAGGCTGGCAATGAGTGTCAGAAAGTCTGTGTATCTCCTTTAAACAAAACTATCACATCCACGCTTGATATAAACTCAAACCTGATTCAGGTGCAAAACTTGTCTTCTTTTTTTTGTTTGTTTGTTTTTATTTGAAAAAAAACCTACTAAACATATAAATTTAGTCAGCAGTAAAAATGGGAGCCATAGAAAGGAAGTTCCATTTTAGAGACAGCCTTATTTTATAGATTTAATATCTTCTACAAGATACCTAGGAAGATCCAGGAGTAATGGGGCGTCCTGGCAGATGAATAAACACTTGTCCAGTATTTGGAAACTATGAGGTCAGAGGGTAACAGCATTCTCCTTTTGCTAAACCATAAACCTGCCTATCTGGTGATAAGATTTTAGTGGCGGGCAGTCTTGTGGCTTTTTTGAGGGAATTCCCCAGGGAACTGATTCTAAATACTAACTGGCTTGTGAAAGCATCAACAAACACAGCTATGGAAAGAGTAGGATGGGGGTTGTACATCACACCTTCTCATTCCAGTCTACAGCTTGCTGTCTACACTTTCATTTTTTGTTGGCTTCTCTTTTTATTATAAGATGTCACAAGTCCCCACCACACTGTTTTGTGAAATCACTAGTAAGACCAGTCTCTAAGAAACAGGACTGCAAAAGTTATAAGATATAAAAACTTAATGTGACCTTTAAGAAAGAAAAAAGCATGGTCACCAAAGCACAAAAGGGACTGGAGCTCTCCTACTCTCAATTCACGTTCTTGAAGAGGAGAGAAACCCTTTGATAGCCTAAAATGAAAACAGTGCTCCTATCCTTGATCTTCTATGAGATTCAGCTGGGTGAACCCAAGCTGGGCACAGATGCTCTAACATGAGTTCAGGAGCACATACTGATGTGCTACAAAGACTCAGACCTTGGTAGTTTAGAAACTGAAGGATCACAGCACAACAGGTCAAAATGGAAGATGGATAGGTATTTATTATGAATCAACTTATACCCTGTTATGCTTCTGACAAAGTAACCTAAAAAACAAAACAAAATTAAAAAAAAAATCATATTGAACAAAGGACCTCCAGGGTTTGATATTTCAAAAACAAAGATAAATAGCTTACTAAAGATAAATAGCGTCACCCTTTGGGGATCTCTTAGAAGCATCTGAAAATTTTCCAGCAGAAGGGAGTCTATAAAGAGAGTGTGTAACCAGTACACCTGATCTCCCACCCCACTGGAACGCAATGCCTAGGGATTGGAATTCTGGAGAGGCAATATGGACCCATTCAAATTTCCTCCCAGAGACCAATCTCTCTAAGTTCTGGGGAAAATCCTTAGCTAGTGGATGTTACCTGGGACTTTGGGTAGGGATAAGGTTCAATAGGGGCCGAGAATATGCATTTGGTAGAAGCCTTTGGTAGCATACCCTGGTAATGCAAGGCCTCTAGGAACTGGAAGAGTCAAATTCTTAATGGAGTATTCTTTGGACCCTCATTTCAGAAAGCAATGCTATTTTCATAAATTGGAACAGACTTTAAAAAATAAAAAAAAGAATAGAAAATTTTATGCTAAAAATAATCCCCAATAAAAATAATCAGTAGCACATTGCATCTGTTAAGGGTCCCAGCTCCCAGTAATGACATGTCTCCAATTGTGGCGTCTTTTCAAGTTAATAGTGTAGGCACTACACCCCAATCTTCATGTCCACACTCTGCAGATTCCGGGTCTCGTCAGCTGTCATGAACTGGTCTGGAGTCTCTGATGGTTCCTTGTTCACCAAATGCACCATTTCCTGAGACTTGCTGGCCTCCCCGTTGAGCTCACTTGGTTTCCTGTCCTCCACTGTTCCATTGCCACTGTTGATCACCAGCTTTTTCTTCTGCCCACACCTGATTGTTTAAAACATCATATGAGAAAGGGTGCAGAAATCAATCAACCAACCAACAATCATCATCATGACTAGTACCACTGGGGATATCGTCATGATCATCACTACAATTTAACATGGTCTTCCTATGTGCTCAGAACTGAACATGGTACTTTCTCTACTTCATCTTCCTGATTCTGAAACTTCTTAAAGTGAGATTCCCTAGTCTAGCATCAAAAGGGAACTTTTCAGATGTAGAAATTATCTATCTATTCTACTGAAGAAGAAATCAGAAAGATCAAGAGTTGGAGGTCTAGAATCTGAAGTTTAACAGCCTATACTTGGAGCTACTCTGGAGGCTGAAACAGGAAGATCACAAATTCAAGGCCTTCCTGGACTACAAAAATTAAGTTCATGATCAGCCTGGATAACTCAATGAAACCCAATCTTGAAGGCAAAGAGGTCTGAGGACATAGCTCAGTGGTAGAGTCCTTGCCTAGTAGGTATGCCTATGTATGTATGACTCTAGGTCACTGGTTCCCAGCCTTCCTAATGCAGCAACCCTTTAATAACAGTCTGCCATGTTGAGGTGACTTCAACTATTAAATTATTTTCATTGTTATTTCATAACTGTAATTTTCCTACTGTTGTGAATTGTAATATAAATATCTGACATGTAGGATGTCTGACATGGAGCCCCTGTGAGTCATTTGACACCCCAAAAAAGAATATGAGACTCACATATAGAGAACGACTGCTCTAAATTCAATCTCCTGTTTATTAAAACAACAAACAATAAACCACCACACTGCAGAGGCTTCTGCTGCAGCCTTTGAGAATCAGGAGTATGGAAATCCATAGCTATTATTACACCTTAGTCCCTATAGGGTTGAAGAAACTCTCAGGGGCATGAAAATCTTTCTGAGTTAGTCAACACACAATGAAAGAGTAAGGATTCAGACCCTGATCTATCTGACTCTGGAGCCCTGATTCTCCTTCTCTGTGCACTGCAAATGTTTGCCTTTGAAACATTATGGTTCCGAAGTCTCAGATAAACCATGACGACTGTGATCATAAATCATTTTGATCTGTGTACTCAAGAAAGTTCCGCTACTTCCCCTTTCAGTCAACACTGTGTTGCTTTGTCAGTGTTATGGCAGCATGTATGGGGAATAAGAAAGCAACTGTGCTCTAGAAGGATAAGGCCATATTGATTTTTTTTCTCCCCACCATTGGGTAACTTCCACGTAGGCCTGCAATAGGAGATTTGATATCAACAGAAGATAAACCATTTGTGCCACTTTAAGGTTTCTTAGTAATGTGGCTCAAGATTCTAGGGCAAGAGAAGGGCTTCTATGGTAAAGCATGACTCTGACCTTGTCCTTGTGATTCTGATGGCACTTCCTGGTCCCTCCCAGACTTATTCAAAGCTTCCTCTTTGTTGTAACCTGATTATTGCAGTGCATGTACCAGTTAGGTTAGGCTAATGGAAGCCAAGTCTTATGGCTTCACAGCTATGATGAGGGGAAATGCTGAACATTTATTAAATGCATGGTTAATTCTAGGCAAAGCAGAAGAAGTTGCTATAACACTCATTAAAGTGGCAATCGCTCCCATTTTACAGCAGTGGGAAATGAAGGCCAGGGCACTTTTAAGGCTTGCTTGAGGTCACATAAGTAAGAATGACCAAGACCATACTCAGAGTTTCAGGATTAAGTGGCCGTGCTCTGCCTGGTTCTGTCAGTGCTGGAGGTTTGGAAACAGTATGAAACTGGAATGGTTCTCTTTGCTGCTGAACTCTAGAGACAAAATGTCTATTATTTGTGATCATAGGCTCTTCCCTGTAACACTACCAAGGCCATAAACTTTAATCTCTTGTTTGGGGAAGTCAAAAATATACTGCCTCAACAGGAAGCAGATCCTGTATCGTCTAGCATAGGTGTGGGGAAGGGTGGAAGGGAAGATGTTTCAACTGTGAAATAAATGGATGAGCGCTAGGAACACTGGCAAGGTTCATACAGACAGCAGGGTGCATGGCAAAGAACTTTTGAATGCTTAGTGCAGCTGTGTAGCCTGAAGCAACTCACTTGACTTCTCTTAGCCTCAGTTCATGTGCTTGTGAAATCAGACTGTTAGGATTGTCAGCCCCACAAGATGGTGGGAATTCAATAGACAGTCTAGTGCTGCTATTTGTTGTTTTTATGAATATTGTGGGTTGAACAAACTAAGGCCTTGGATAATCAGAAGAGAACCTGGAATATAGTAAGCATTCAAGTGCAGACTGTGGTTGTTAATAGAATGGAAGGCATGTGACATGAACTTTAATGGTTTCTTTGGCTGCTTTCACTGTAGCTGTCCTCACAGGAATGATGGCACCCTATAGAGACCTTTGTTCTCTTCCTTTGGGCTCTCAGTCCATTGAAACAAGGGACACCAAGAAATTAGAATTTCCTAAGAATATCATACTTGGGAGAAGCAAAAGCTGAATTTTGGTGCAAGCCAGAGGGGACCTTGTCTTTGGGAAAGCGTTTTCACATTTTCTTCACAGCGTTAAGGACTGCCATGCCAGACAGCCTGGAACCCACACAATACTGGGTCAATTTTGGGTGGAGTTGTGCCATCACTGGAATTGCTTAGCTGCCCATACAGCTTATCCTCTATTTATACTTCTAGACTCTTGGGATGGATTTAGGGGAAGAACTGTCAAGTTATATCTTTATTTGCTCCTCTTCCCAATGACCACATTGTCTACCTGCCTTTCTCTGCTTTGCACAGACTTACCTGTTTAACTAGCCTGCTGAGAATGGGTAGCAAAGCCTGCTTGTTAGAGCTGCCAGAGATCAGGCTAACAACCCCAGCACACCACCTGCCTTCCTCTATGCATTGGCAAGATAACTCAAAAGCTGGAGGTGAACACTGCCTGTATTATTCCAAACTCTCAGGTTACATAGCCTGTGTTCTTAAAGGAAGCTTGCCTAACCTAACCAAGTCCCATTTGCTTATCAACCAGATTGCTGAGAGGTAGAATGAAAAACATCAGAGTACTTTGTAAGTATAAAAATATATCTATTCATGCAGGCAGAATGAGATTGACGCTGTTCCTCTGAATCAGTCATTTTCAACCTTCCTAAGACTATAATACCCTTTAATACAGTTCCCCATGACCTTCAACTATAAAGTTATTTCTGTTACTACTTCATTACTTCATAATGTAATTTTGCTACTGTTGTGAATCATAATATAAATCTAATATGCAGGATGGTCTTAGGCAACCCCTGTGAAAGGGACTTTCAACCCCTAAAGGAATCACAACCCAGGTTGAGAACCATCTTTTCTAAATGAAGGAACTGATTTGAAAATGTGTAACAGCAGACAGGTAGACATGTCCACTGTATTTCTGTCTCTACTATCGATCTATGTTCCTTCAGGAAGATTACTTAGGATTATCCTAAGAAACAGTGAAATATCCAGTGCTCTGAACATTTGATGAGCACTTTTAAGACTATTTATAAGACTATTCTGATAGTTTTTTCCTTTCTCAGCAAAGAAGATGGGTGCTGAAGAGGTTTCTGTAAACCAGATGATGAATCCAAGAGAGATGTCCAATGCCATACTATGTCTGGTATCTTTACAGCTGTGTCTGAGAGACCAGATGTTCTTATAAAACCTCATTTCATCTTTGTCTTTTCTTCCCTTCAACTGCAAGCACTACAGAACACACAGCAAATACAGGAAGAGAAATGAGCCAGCCCTGGACTTATTCTGGAAAGGGTTGGCAGACCAGGTATCCCAGAGGAAGTCTCATATGGATAGCACCACTCTAGGATGCAGAACCAGTTCAAGCGAGCACAGATCAGACAAAGCTTGATAACTACACAACGGAAGGAAAGTCTTACCAAATCATGAAGATTTATGACTAGGAAACGGGTCCCTAAAAATACCATTATTCTCATGAAAGAGAAGACTGATGGGGCCTGCTCTGCACAGCCAGCATAGAATCTTTTGTGACAAGTCCTGGGTTCTGAAGCCTTCTTTGGCAAGGCCCTTGTGGCTTTTCTCCTTTCCAGACACATCAGATAAATTCTTCAAGGGGAAAGCGCCTAAGGGCTGCTACCGTTGGGCCTCATCCAATATCTACCAACACAACTGGCTCCTGATACAACTTGCTCTTATGGGGAGCACAGAAAGCTGTAATTCAGGCCCCTGGTTTCATGAAGGGCAGCAGGGAAAGCTGGTATGGATCATATCAAGTGTGGAAAAAGTTGAGGAAATCATGGAGCACCCCACCATCAGTGTCTTTCCAAAAAAAATGATGGTTTATTTTTATTTTATGTGTATGGGTGCTTTGCATGGATGTATGCATGTGTACCACAAATTTGCCAGGTACCCTCAGAGTCCAGAGGAGGGTAATAGATCCATGGATCTAGAGTTACAGGTGGTTGTGAGCCACCATGTAGGTGCTGGGAACTGGACAAGAGTCCTCCTCCTCAAAGGCAGGCAGTGCTTATACTTTCTGAGGCATCTCTTGGATACCCCTTTCCATCAGGACATTCAGATGCTGGGACTCTCAGAAAACTTTGCAATAGAAGCACTGGGAGTTAGTATCTGTGGCTAATGCCACCTCTACTTCAATGAGCACCAAGGGTGTCCTCAATGACAGCTGTGTGTTTGTGTGTTTGTGTGTTTGTGTGTGCGTGTACACTCACGCATGCATTTAGGTTTATCAGCTCCTGGGCACATGTGAGCATGGAGGCCAAAGGTCAATGTTATGTGTCTTCCTGAGTCACTCTCCATCTTCTTTATTGAGACAGATTTTTCCTCACTAAACCTGGAGCTCACCAATTTCACTATACTGGCCAGCAAACTCCAGGGAGAGACTCTTGTCTCTGCCTCCCCAGTGCTGGGATTATGAGGTCATACCATCATGAACAGCTTTTTATGTGGGTTCCGGGGGCATGAATCTCAGGCACTCATTTTTGCACAGCAATACGTTACAGAACTGTCTTCCCAGCTGTCAGCTGGCTAGGCCTCTATACATTAAACCTCAAGACGGTTTTAGAGAAGAAACATGCACTTCATTTTCTCTCCTTCCTCATTAATCCTAACAGCTGTAGATGCCTGCAAAAGATACTTATTGAATAAATGAATTCCCTCTGGATCAAACTTTCTTTGATGAAAATAGGGTTCCATATCTTTCTTAAATGTAGTGCTCAAAGCAGAAAGGCTCCTGTCTTCTAACGGGATTAGAGATGGGCTATTAGCCTTAGGAACACAGCACACATTAAGGGGCCCATGGGCTATTAGCCTTAGGAACACAGCACACATTAAGGGGCCCATTCAGTCCTTAACCACTTTTCAACAGTGTGGCAAATCTGTTTTCAATTATCAAATCAGGACACAGTAATTTATGGAGTCTACAAAGCTGCTTTCCTGGTAAGAGGTTGGCTCAGCCAGCTTCTGCCTGTCCCTGTTTGCAGGTTGCTAGGGTGATGGCTGGCCTGGGGACAAGAGGAGAGGAGACCATGAGGTCCTTTCTCTGCTGCTGAGGAGACAGGGAGCCATGAGGGATAAGATGCTTCAATATGCAGATTCCAACTGCTCTCCAGGACAGCTGCGATGCTGAAGGATGGGCCCCCACACCAACAGCATCTGGGACATCTCCATGGTGACATCTGCAAAGCTTATGGACTGTACATGTGACACATTCTAAGGCCTGAAATCAAAGGCTGATTTCAAACAAAAGGAAATTCATATTTAATTGAGCAAAAATAATCCAAGAGAAAACAGGGAAGCCAAGAGGAAGAATAAAAGCTCTTTGAAGAGCTTCCTCAGCCCCATATTTGTTTTCATCTAATCATAGGAACCCATAGGAGGGCTCTCAGATTTTCCCCAGTTTTTGTTCCCTGGGTGGTCAGTGCTCATGACTAATATTTTTCTTATACCCTCCAAACCATAGGTGGCAGTACCATGATTTGAGTGAGCACTTTCATGAATTCTAAACACTGTAGAATAGTGTTATTTGGTTTTTGCGGATGACAAGAAACCCTTCAGAGACTGTGCAGGGCACTGGAAATCATTGCTTATTGTTTCTGAACAGCAACAACAAAGTGTATAATTCTCTCCTGACTTCTCAGAATCTGAAGCATTTGAGGCCTGCGAGGTGATTTAGAGGCACAGCCAAGGCAGCCCAGTTAAGTAAGAAGACTTCGACCTTCCAAGAGGCATTCCCGAGGGATATTTACAAAAAGCTTAATGTCTGCAGCAGACACTTAGGAAAACAATGAATCTTTAAAACGTCTGGGAAGGAATTTAGACTTATAGGTTTTTTTTTTTTAGTTATTTTTTATTTTTTATTTATTTTTTGAGTGCCCTGGCTTAAAGTTCCCATCTCCTGATGCTAGAGTTACTGTTGTCCTGAATTTCACCCTGGGTGGCACTCTAGTGAGAGGCTGATTATAAATTAGTTAAATATGCACACTACGTACATGACTTTCAGAATACAGAGCCTTTGCTACTATGGGAGAGAGGGGTTTCCAGGATGTGAAGACAGCCCGCTTGCCCTTTCTTGGGTACTAAACGGATTCTCTAGCCTAGAAAAGTTTATCAGGGCTTCATAGACCTCACCGTGAGAAAGATTTCCCTAGGCAATGCCCTGAATCCCTTCAATTGAATCTTTCATAAAACACAAAATCACATCCTTAAAGAGAAACAAGCAACAAAACAAGGCCCATGCCAATTTTGGGCAAAGATTCTAGAAGGTTCCATAAGCTTTCAATAGTCAAAGGAAGATGACCAATTCTTGATTTGTTATACAATCTTTTAAGCCTTGGGATAACTTAGTTAATATTTGATTAATGAGCCAATGGCTGAGTATATACTTTATGTGCCATACTAGTGAGCTATTTCATAACTTCTATCAGTTACCCTAGGCTTCAACCATAAAAAATGTAGAAATAGTAAAACTCAACCACTGTTTAAAGGAGACGTTCCAAATCACCACAGATGTCTTATTTCTCTAAAGAATGGGTGAGATAAGGGTTAAAAAACCTATGATATGAGTAGCACTCCCTGGGATATTGCTAAAAGGCAGGCTCTGGTACAAGAAATCTGGTGCCAGGCAAGAAATCCTACATGTCTAACAAGCTCCAGGGTACCAAGGCTACCAGTTACAAGGGCTATAGTCCGAGTAGCATGGATATAAAACCCAAGTTCCACAATGCCCTTCGAAGTGGAAAGCTGCAAAGGGCTCTCTTACTTACCTTCTCCTACTGTTGACAGCAATGCAAACGGCAAGAATCAGAGCCAGTGCCAGGAGAGATGCCAAGATGATGAGCCATTCTGGTATGAAGAAAAGGACATAGTGAGCTTCCCAAACACACTTTATGAAATAAAAATAATGCAGTTTAAAAATTGATCTGCTCCAAATAAAACCCCTAGCCAGCTCTGCAGAGAAGTCTGACCAACAGCTCAGCTAGAACATCCTAAGACAGATTCTCCTGTAGACGCTCATCCAACAGGCTTCTTTTATTAACCTTGTATCAATAGCTCTTCCAGAGTAAAAATGCTTCCCAAAAAAGATATCAAGCAACTTGTTGAAGCCTGTACATGTTTTTGGTGAAATGCTAAGTAGATTAAAGGAAATTTATATTTCTCTTGACAGAAACATTCCATGCCTGTGTAAAAGCATCTGCCTTGCATTTCATTCAAAACAAAGATGGAGTTCATAATCTAGTGGGCAAAGAATGTTCCTAAAGTAAGAGTAAAAACAGGGAGACACCTTCCATTTCTTTCAATCATTCAGCTCCACTGATGACAGACTCCAAATTACTCATGCTTTTTGATTTATCAGTTACACTTCTAAAAGGCTAGAGGATCTCAAAATTAGCTTTCATAATGTCCACCGTTATGTTGCTTATACCAATAAAATTTGAAACAGACCTAATGTCCAATGGTGAGGGATTAAATAAACAGATCGGGATTTATGCATTTTGTTATGTGCTACATAATTCAAGGAAAAGGTACTTAATGACATGGAAGGTGGAACTGACAGGCAGAAAATATTAGCCAAACAGCACATATGGTAGTTTTGAAATAAATTACTTTGAAAAAATACTAGGAAGAACATCACTTAAGATGGGAGCTTTAACACTTGTGGGTATTGAGATTCAGTAAGTGACTGATATTTCCATCCATTTTTAAAGTTATAGTTTCTAAAGTGTACTGGATAATTATGTACCACTTCTGGATTGATGCAATATTATGCATATGTTTTAAACTCTGGCTTCAATAGGATAGACAAGTTGAATTGATTCAGTTGCAGATGTGTGTGGTAAATGAAGGCTTGAGAAAGAAGAAAGACAGGGATTTGTTAGCCACAGTTCTCCTTGGAAGTTTTGCTTTCCTCTTACTTCAGACTGTGAATCCCTTTTGGTTTACTTCGAGAAAGCAGGGACACTTTCAGGAAGATGTCATTTCTGTTCTTCCTCCCCCACTCTGCCTGGCCTTCAGCACTGAGAAGTCCACATTCCTTCTCACTAGATTGGGATGAATCCTCATGTTTGAATTCAGCCTGCCTTCCCCTGCCCACTCCTCCATGAATATCCACTCCCTCTTTATACATGTCCTGCCTCCTCAGGTGCTCAATAAGTTGAGACAAAGGAGCAAGGCCCACAAGGAAAGCTGTTTTGTAGCCCTCCAAAGAAAGGGTTAAAAGGGTAATTTTCAGCATTAAGGGAAACTTCCTTTGTGGAATCTCCCCCTTTACACATGCTCATTTTCAACCCCAAGCTAAAAGAAGAAATTGCATCAAGTGCTAAATCCTGTAGCATGGGACAGCCAGATGTCAAAGCTCCCTCCCTGCATGTGTAAGACTTTATAAAATTTTTCTTCTAGCTGCATTAGCAGACTGTCACTCCAGCCAACACAGATGATCCGGTATCTCCTCCCTGCCTGTCAATGCAAGAGAATGACACACTTCATCTCAGTCCCAGAAATATAGGGAAAACTGGGTTGAGCTATGAAGGACTTGGGTGTTCCATAAGGTTCTCTGGGTGATCCATCATCATTCATGGGGGAAAAAATCCTTTAGTAACTGGTGCATCAATTCTTTGAGGTAGGCCTCAATGTGAGTGCATCCATCTAATGGGTACCTAAAGGGGGAAACAAAAAGAACTACAAGGAGACTGTAGTATTTCTATTTATACAGAAGCTTGCAGAGGGGAGCGAGATGTGCACTTGATGAGGTCTCATCAAGGACATTCTGAGAATCTTGCATTAATTATCTAATGTTTGCTTCATGGTGCGAAACTCACCTGGAATCTGAGGTTTCCTTGCAGGACCAGAAGTTGTGGTCGCTCCACTGTCTTGATTCCCACTTGAGTGTCCTAAGGGGAAAAGCAACAAGCTCTTTCAGACCAAGTTTGGAATATATAGCCAGGAGTTCCTTCCACAGCATGGTGCTGGGCTACCCTCCAACTGCTGCCTTACTAGAAAAACTATAAATAGATTCAAGATACAGATGGTTATAAAGTGTTAGGCAAAAGATAACATCTCTCTTCACCTCCCAAGAAAGTTCAGTGTGACTAAGCTAAAGCTTACAAATGTTATTTTTATTGCAAGGAACAGTGATGGGCAGTTTGAACTTCAGCTCCAGAGCGAGTCAACCCTAGGTTTGGGACCTAACTCTGCCTCTTACTAGCAACGTGTGGCTGGCCAAGTCATTATCTCTAACTCTCTGTTTTCTTACTTTTAAAGTGAGGATCATAACAGAAACCACTTCATTGTTATTTTGCAAAGGCTTAAAGAAGTACAGGATGGTAGTAGTTGTATGTATTTATTAGTTCTAAAAATAATGGTGCCATAAGCCAACAGGACCCCCTAACTATGGAGCTGTCTAGAAATACAAAAATCTCAAGCAACACTTAAAACTTCCAGAAACAACATCTTCATTTTAATAATATCCCTAATGTACTTATATGCTTCAGAAAGTTCAAAGTAAGTCTAAAATAAATTGCATGCAAATTGTACTTGTTAGTTTTTAGTATACATGCAAGCTCAAGTCATCTGTGAAGAGGGAATTTCAAATGAGGAAATGCCTCCATCAGATAAATAAGTCTGTGGGGGAACTTTCTTGATTATTGAAATGGGAGAGCTCAGCTCACCAGGGTAGTACCACCCCAGACAAGTGGTCCTGAGTAGTATAAGAATTCAAGTTGAACAGTCCATATAGAGTAAGCTATAAGTACCATTCCTACATGGCTTCTGCTTCAGTGTCTGCCTCCAGGTGCCTGCCCTGACTTTCTTCAGTGTACCATGACTCAGGATATGAAAGTCAAATAGACCTCCCCCACCCCAATTTACTTTGGTGAAGGCCTTTATCATAGCAATGGAAAGCAAACTAGGATAAACATTGTAGATACTAAAGTAAATGCCAATTTTATTTTTGCCATGGTGTGGAGGGGGTTGCACTGTCATTTCCTATCTATAAATAAGAGGTTATTAGAGTCTATGCTAATACAGTGAAACATAATAGAAAAATGAATGCTTTCTACTATCAGAAGACAAAATAAGGAAAAGAACAAAATACCCAACTTACAGAAAAGCATTGTGAGAAGACATCTCTGAGTCAGAGCCCTTATCAAAACAAGGAAGACACCACATCTAAAAAGAAACATCTTGGTTTTCTGTTTCCTTTCTTCTTTTACTCCTTGACACTAAACAGCAACCTGTTCTGGAATCTTGAAGGCCACCAAGGAGAGAAAAGCCTAGGCAAGATTGTTTGCTTAACCCATTGGCCAGGATAGTTGGACTTAAAGGAAAATATCTGAGAGAGTCAAACTTTAGACTGCAGAGTGAATGCTGAACTCTAACTACATAGGACAGCTTGGTTTGTATAGTTTGGTGCATTTGCTAACGATCAAACAAAATAGAGCCAAGTAACTTCTGTGTTCTTTCAACAGACGTCATCCTATTCTGAAAGTGGCCTCTCCTTTACAGATCTCAAAAGAGTCCAAGGCAATTTTTCTACCCACCTGTCAGTGTCCTGAGCAACTGGCAGGTTTTGCATACACAAGTCATGGCATATCAGCCCTCCAACTGGAGAACTTTGGCCTTGAAAACCACTGTAAAGGTATAGTCACTCTCACTGGTCTCTTTTGTCTGACTCATAGCAGCCTTTGATATTTGAAAAGGCGGCCATTAATAGATCATAATCTATTCATTTTCCTTTTCCAAAGAAGTGCTCCCAGCAAGGAAAGACCTAGGTGTGTGCACAAGTTGAAACCTCCTGTTTGAACAATAGACATCTGCACAGGAGCCAAAGGAAAAAGACCTGTTCCCACCCACCTGATTCTCACTTCAAGCAAAAGCCCAAGAGGATGGGCCACAGACAGCCCAAGAGCTCCATAAATCTAACCAGGATAGAACAGGCCTGAAGAACAAGTTCTGCAAAGCAGGGCACTGGACACACCAGTTTGGAAATGTGGCCCAACTCCAGACATGGGCATGGAGATCATTCAGTTAGCTTCAACTGTGAGAAAAGCAGCAAAGAGTGGAGCACACAGATCAACTGAAGGGGAGGGGCTTGGATAACTCAGACCCTCATCCCGTGTGTATCTCTCTGGATGGGGCAAGATTAGGCACTTCCAGCAAGCTTCTGTATGCAATCTCTGCTGCTCCACAGGCTACACTCATACCTGTAGGGATCTCGTGGCATTGGAAACTGTGCCTTCAAACAGTAATCTCTTACTCTCTCAATACCTTGACTTTTATATAAAACCTCGATTACTGAGGTAGGTGACCCTAGGTTTATTTTTACTAACAAGGAAACTAAAGCTGGGGAATACCGAGTGTGCTAAAGACCCTGTTAAGCTTGAAATATTACTCTCGATTTAAGGATAATTTCTAAAGAGCCCTACACCCCAGAGCTCATTTACATTTAAGTTCTGTTATCAAAGCCACCATGTAAATATCCACCCCCAGATTTTCTTGAACACTAGAGGCAGCACTTGCCTCAGACTCATGCAGCAGACGCTGCTAATTTGTATAGATTCCCTGGATCCAATGGACCACGTAGATTTGTAATAATCAGGAGCTCGCAGAAGGAAGTGCTAAGAGAACATCTCTGTAACCTCAGCATTAGGGATTAGATGTGAGCTTGCCTCATGTTGGACTTTGCTGCCTGGAGTAATGTTTCTAGGGGTTGATTTGAGTCATGCCAACAGCAGTCTATTTAATAATGCATGTCTGGCAGTAATTATGGTCATTGTGGAATTTTCTTCCAGACTGGACTTAGGAGAGGCAATATGAGACTCCAGACTTGAAACCTGACTCCACCACTCACTGGTCATATCAACTTGGCAAGTTGCTTCCCTCCTCTTACCTTTCTTACCTCTTACTTCAGTCTCCTCATTTGTAATAAGGTGATGATAATAGTCTTTTCATATATTATAGGGTTTGCAAGATAATTAGATATGTTAATAGTACACAAACTCTAAATTCCCTGGTATTGGGATCACTTGCGCTACAGAAATATCAGTTTCATGTAGTTCAATGTAGAAATGAAATGCTTTGCTTAGTCTTTCTGGCACACAGTAAATTCTGAAATGCTGGCTATACTATCAGGTTTATGCTAAACACTGTCTAGGTATTTATTCTAACATTTGGCTTGTAAAGGGTGCCCTGTGACAATATCTCCAGATTATCATCTAGGACATTGAATCTCAGACCCTGTCATCATCTCGCTGAATTTATAGGTAGAGGAATGAGGATCAAAGTCAAGCTATTTTATGCCTAAAGAGCTCTCTTATTGACTCCATTATAGGGCAGTGTAAAATGAGGTTGTCCTTGTTAGGTCACATAGTGTGATGAACACTATGTCCAAAAGCTATTTGGGAATGAAAGGGTTTATTTCGCTTATGTGTCACAGTCCATTGAGGGAAGGCAAGACAGGAAGAACTCAAACATGGCTGGAACCAGGCTGATGGAAACAGGCCATGGGGGAAAGTTTGCTTACTAGCTTGTTCTTGATGACTTACTCAACTTGCTTTATTATAGAATACAGGATCACTAGCTGAGTAGTTGTCTCACCTACAACAGAGTTGGGCCACCCCATGTCAATCAGTAACTAAGAAAATGTCCTACAGGCTTGTCTACAACCCAGTCTCATGGAGGCATTTTCTCAATTGAGGCCCTCTTCTCTCCAATGACTCTACCTTGTTTGTGTCAAGTTGTCATAAAACAAGTCAGCAGGGAAGCACTGCTTGGAGTCTTCCAGACCCTTTCACATGGAAGCTCTTTTGCTAGAGTGTTAGTTGTCTTAAGTATAGTGCCCATCCCAGCAGTATCAGAATGACTGGGAATTTATTAGGAATACAAATGCTTGGGCTCCAACCCAGACTTACTGAATCAGAAACTTTGGGGTGGGGTCCAGTAAAGTGACTTAATAAGCCTTCCTGTGACTGAAAATACATGTTTTTTTTTTTTTTTTTTTAAATAGTGTGAAACAATTCTTTAGGGACACTGACTCATGCTTCATTAGCGATCATCAGGTTCAGAGATTATAACAGTGAGTAAACATTTTAAACTCACCAGCTAATTCGGATCCATGAGTCACAGTGCGGGAACCCCCGCTGGGGTCCATGGATGAACCTCGATTGCCTAGAATAATAAGCAATAAAAGCCAGTCAGCATTGTGTCTCCGTTCACACTGTCATTTTCCTTTCCATTGGTTGAGTTTTGAGAAAGCCATTGTCTGCTAATGACATCGAAGAAGGCACTGCCCATCCTTTGAGACATTGATGAACAGACTAGATCATTATTCAAAATTTAGGAAACCGAGGCAGCACAGGCCATCCTGGATGACAACTAAAAATATTATATGGGTAGAAATCCAAGAACAGAGCTCAGGACTGTTCTGAGAAAAATATTATGATGCTTTCGCAGGGCTGAGATTTGAATGAGATACTTCACAGCTTGTGATACTGGAATATGATCACTTAAATGAGTGCACTGTGGCTTAGACCATACAGTATAAAAGTAGGTTTCTCTGACTCTGAAACAAAAGAATCTTAGAAATGAAGGAAGCAAAGGCTCAAAGGGAGAAAAGACCTATCTATCCAGAGAGGAGAAAGGTCAAACTTCAGTGTAATAAAAATCAGTGAAATGGTGTGAATGGCATGGAGCTGGGCATCAGAAGAAGTCTCAGTTCATGTTTTCTTTAAAAAGTTAAGCCCACGTGATCAAAAATCATTGATACGATCCCTTCTCAAATATCCATCACCAGAAAGCTTTAGATAGAGACAAACTCAAGAGCAGCTAATTTTAAGTCCAAAAGTTAAATTATATGGGAAACAAATATACACAGAGAACAGGGGTTCCTAAAGTTGGTACAGATCATTTTAAGTGTGCCTAGAAAAAGAATACAGTGAAATGTGCTGTATGTGATTTCCTGGTTAGGAGAGGCGGGCTTGCTTGTAATTGCTCTTAACTTTATTACAGAGAGACCTCTTTGTTCCTTTGAGAAGGGTTATGATAACAGACCACAGCACTTGATGAAATGCCACACCGACGGTCCCACCACCAAAATCACCATTTCCAAAGCCATCCCCTTCACCAGACCCATCACCACAACTGCCATTGCATGTTTCAGTGCATTGCATTCAGTGTACAGAAATATTTATGATAAGAAAAATACACTTTGTAATTCTTCTGGATTAAAACAGAATGAGAATCAGACCATTTACTAATCACTGAATTCACAAAAAACTGAAGGACATTCCTTGCACCTCTGCCTTTTTCATATTGATCAAATGGGATCAACACATGGGAATGCTAATTTTGTAGAAAGTATTTTATTTGCTAGCAATTAGACTCTGCAAACCACCTAAGAAACTATATCTAAGATTGCCATTTTAAACACAAATCCATTAAGTAGCATAGGGCCATTTTAGCATGAGAACGTTTGTGGCACTCCTTTGACTCATTCTGCATGAATCTAACAATAGCACTTGGAGGTTTAAATGAGGAAAAGAAGATCATTAATAAGGAAAATAACCAAAAGCCTTCGGAGTGTAAGGGGGTTTGGTCTTGCCAATATTGCTGAAGTTGCTATTTTTAAAGCTCCTTTTCTTGAAGCCCTAGAGTGGGAAGCCAGAGGGAATGTGACAAGCATATAACACCCTGGATTTTCCCTCCCTCCGTCAATCAGAACATTACCACTGCCATCTGCTTTGCATATGGGATTCCCATGAGATCATTTTCTCATCTTTGTCTTTTGGGAGAGTGGAGGAGGTAGGGTCTTTCTACAAATTAGGTATATGTGGATGTACATACATATTCTTATTTAAACTTTATTTATTTAAACTTTATCGTATTTTCATCTTTACTGTGTCAGTGATTGAATGGTAAGAGGTACCCAGATTACGGGCACTAGTGGGAGGAGGTGTCTAGTTTCTTAGCCACAGAAATCCTTTTCCAATTTCCCTTTCTATAGTGTTAGTTTCTTAACATGAACAAAGAAATAAAGAAGAGAAGTAGAGAGGATTGCTTGCTTGAGATAAAAGTTTCGTTCTAGGTCCATGTCAGACTTAATTGAGTAAGTCATATATTTACTATTACAATAAAAACGAGGGTCTCAGTTTTCTAATAGCAAATTATAAACTTTGAAGCACACCACAAATAGAAAAAGGTTTATACACCAACCCATCACCAAAAATAAAACAAGTCACTCCGTCACCAATTAAAGATAATTTCAGAGCAAAGATACCAGTATATGAAAATCATTTGAATGTTTAGTAAAGCATTGCTAAATAGGTAGAATATATTATCTGAATCAAATGAAATTGCTGATATTCAACTATTTCTATCCATCAAAATATCAATTTCAAATGATTCAAGTTAATATATCAAAGAATGAAGAAAAGACAAAGCAAGAAATTCTACAATATGAACCGTCACACAAAAAAAGGATGTTATACCAGGAAATGGAAGCATTATTTTACCTCAAATAAATCCAAGTTTTCTGACACTATAATTGATGACAAACATGAAAACCATCCCCACAGCACAAAGTAATCAAATCACAGCCTGCACCAAAAATATCCCCTACAATAGGAAAAAATATATGTTGTTTCTCCTGAGAAGCAAGCCAGATGACACATGGCTAAATTACCTGGTATGGAGCCATCAACATTAAAGTTGGAGTTGGTAGCAACAGTCACTTCAGTTTCTTCAAAGACCTCAGTCTTTGCAGGGGTCACTGGGAAGAGAGTCCCATTTTCCATAGTGTCTGGGTAATGAGGGGTGTAGCCTTCTACTGAAGTAGTTGTATCTCTGGGAAGACTTCCACCTTTTCTTGCGTCCTTACCACCACTCTTAGCTGCATGGAGGTGGAGTCAATGATAAGCCCACACCTGTAAGGTCACCACCCACTGTGTGCTTGACTTCGAAAGGTAAAGTTGCCAAGACATCTTTCTACTTGTTCTCCGAAACCAAAAGCAATGGTACTGAGCAAAAACAATGTTTTGCAAGACACCAGCCAGATAGCACTCAATGAAAGAGATTTTGGTGACTACTTACTACACAGAAGAGGCACTTGTTACAAGATTTGTTTGAGTCATCAAGGGTATGTGGTTATCCCATTGTGACCTTGAAGTCACCTCAGGTACAATAAGATTTTGATCTTTTTGTCTCAGTTGGATCCACCTCTGAGGAAGAGGTAAAGACAAACCATTGGATGGAAAGATGAAACCATTCTGCCTGCAACTGGAATAATAAGCTCAAGATTCAAAAGACCTGAGTCTATTGACTTGAATTTTCTTTTCTGTGCTAGGAGGGCATTCTTTATAGTCACCAATATCACAGTGCTATGGTCCAGAAGATAAATCAGAAATAATATTAGTTCAATGGATATCAAAGAAAGCTTACAGAAACAGCTATTATTAAACCAAGTTACTAATCTAATACCTTTAAAATTCAGCAGAAAAGTTTGTACCTAATGTACAATGGCTTCTAAAAGGTATATAAAGCAGAAAAACCAGAGACCACCACCAGACACACCTTTTGATAAAAAAATAATGTATAAAAACAGACAACAGATGTACCACCACCAAACATACCACAAAGGTACCATCACCAAAGAGTTTACAAAGCATCACTACCAAAGATACTACAAAGCGCCACTAAAAGAGATACTACAAAAGTACCACCACCAAGGATACTACAAAGTACCCAAAATGTCTTGATTTCTGCTTAAAAGCCAGTTGGGCTTTATGATCCTTACTGCTAGATGGCAGAATAGAAGTTGTTGGATGGTCTTCGTATTCTTCCAGCTCTCCTTGTAATGTAGAGAAGTTCTGAGAATGACTCTGTGCTGTTTCAATGAAGGATGAAGCCATTGTTAATTAGAAACCATAACACATGGACTTACATGGATAATCTAGCTATAGAACATCAGATGGACAGATACAATGGGAGAATGATATTTGTGCCTTTCACCATCTGCTGATTGATACAAAGATACAGAAAGATTATATTTTGTACATAGTTAGCTTCTTTGTCTCTCAGTGAAGTTCCAATCTGAAGCTCAAGCCAAAACATTGCCCTCCTGGGACCACCTTGACCCAGCTGCAGCAAGGATCCCAGAAACAAAGATCACAGAGATATGGAAAGCGGTGCTGTAATTTCAGTTTTCCCTCAAAGATTGCCTAGAAGTTAGACTAGAAGGGAAAAAATTGCTATGTAGTATCTGTGAACACAAAAGAAAAAGCTCATCTCTATCAGTGAACTCAGAGTAACTTTATAAGGAAATACATGATTCTCTTGTAGAGAGCATTGTGTTTGAGTTACTACTTTTTTAGTAGGGCTGTGGTCTCCCCAGTAGGAGGGTTTCTCTTCAATGCACCAAGGAAATGCTTGCCTGGGCAAATACAGGGCCTTCAGTGATACGTATCAAATTGAGATTGAATCATTGCCCATTTCTGAAATCACTTTGACTGTTTTGAGTTCTTTTCTTTTGTGTTCTTCCAAGAAAGGCACTGACCTCTGAGGTGCAGGTGCAAAAGCCCCATAAAACACACCCATCATCCATGTCCACCACCAAACAAATATAACCAGGAGAGAGACATTCACTAAATCCCAAAGCCAACATCAGAAAAAAAGCCGACAGTAGCACAAAAATGGAAACACAAGTCCTGCATGGGCAAGGGCCATTTATAGACTTCTTTATGTCTCCTTTGATCCTAACGCGGTGCTATTTACATTGATGACAATCAACACATGCCTTCTGGCTTTTTTCCTATGTCTAAAGGGCTCCTATAAAGGGCTCTGCCCTTTATGTGTAGCAAGCAGTGAAATGAGGTCTCCTTAATTTGGGATTTCTTTGATATTCTGCCAAGAATTTATGAATGGCTTCAGGTTGATCCTTGGGCTATACTTATAAATATGTTGAAAATTAAGGGTACTAAAATTTTCTTATTTCTTCCTAGTAGATGTTTAGTGATAGAAAAAGATGTTAGCAAATGGTTCTTTTTGACTCCGAGGACTCCGCCACCATGGTCAATCATCAATAACGTCCTTCTCTGAAAGCTTAAACGTGATTTCCCTATTCACTATAATGATTCGGCCCTCATATAACTTCACACAATCACGAAAACAATAATTCTTCTGCTTGGCCTGGAAGAAGAGTGGGAATCAAAAAGAGTCAGTTAAAACAGAGACACCACTCTACAAGTGATGGTCTTCAGTGTCACATGACTAGCTAGAGATGAAAAAATGGAGATGAATGACATTTCCATATCCTTTTTTCTTGTGTTGTTGTTGTTGTTGTTGTTTTTCCATATCCTTTTGTTAATAAAAAGTTTTTGACTCCTTTGAGTGGACCTTGGATGAAAATTCAGGTTAGAAGATACTTTATAAGAAAGACCGACAATAAAAACATATTCAGACTCTGGCTGAGCTAAGCCACCTAGCAAAGACTGCCACCATTCCATCACCGAATGCAACATCTTGACCAATATGAGCAAGATGTGAAGTAGATATAGACAGGCCAACAAAGGGGCTTTGTGTCATTATCCTTACGAGTTGTCACTGAAAGTGATCCCGTTCTGTTCAAGTCTTCCACCAAATGGGTATTTGGAGCTGAAGTAGGCTGAAGGGTTGTACTATGACTGGAGTCCATATCTGAAGGAATCAAATTGATGTTATTGCCATATTCCCAATGCTGGGAAATGACCCAAGGGTCATTTAGGTCACATAGCCAAGTAATGTTTACATTCAGCCTGGTGAGAGGAAGTAACAGGTTCACATGTCCAGATCTGGGATAAATTATTGTTTCTTCAAAAATATCACAGGATATATGTGGTTTTCATTTCAGGGCAGAATTAGATGAAAGCTATCACTTTTATTTGTTGGTTTGTCTCTTGCTTAGTCTAGAAGGAAGTTACATGAGCACACAATGGGGCTCAAGGTTTTTGCAAAGGGGCAGAAACATAACCCATGTGTGACTTGCTTCATTCTAAGATAGACAAGTACAGTCAGACACATGGAGACAAATAACATACACAAGCATCATTTTGACATCTCCTGCTCACCAGGCCAAACAAAACAACAGTAATAAAGAGTGTTCAAACAGACAGTGGCTTTTCTTGTTTCCCTTTTTGTCTCTTTGTTTTTGTTTCACAAAATACACACACACACACACACACACACACACACACACACATATATGTGTGTGTGTGTGTGTGTGTGTGTGTGTGTGTGTGTGTGTGTGTGATATACATATATCTCAACAGGAAGTACCCACGGACAAATAAGAATCATTCTCCCCACTAATAAAAGCAAGAAGCATCTTGGGACTTCTGATTATAGTGTTGAGTGGTGTGAAAATCTCCCTGAAGTAATTAAAAAGTCTGCTTTTTCTGATGGTTATCACAGATCTATTGGGCAGAAATAACAAGTTCAGAGTGAAATAGGGACCAAGCAGTCCATAAAGAGCATCAGTACTGCTTACTCTACAGTTTACTCAATCCACCCACATCTCTGACTCTAGATGACTCCAGTGGAAAGTACTGGGATATGAGCACCCCCTTGGGTGGTGCCAAGCAGTCTTTACATGCTAACAGCAAAGACAGACAAGATCTCTGTTAGAGAAAAATGTGTGGCTGATTCAAAGAACAAAGGCAAGTTACCCACAATCAAAAATTCAAATGGATGCTCTATTAGAAGAAAAATAATGTCTACAGAGGGCCTGCATTCATTCTTGTTCATTTTTCCTTTTAGAAGTAAAATTCTTTGAGAACTATCATGTCACTGTATGGCAGAAGCTAACTATCTTGTGTGTATGAGGAGGCACAGTAATGAATCTGCCAACATGACAGGCCCATGATATGGTTAAGATTTGTATTGTAGATGAGAGAGAGAGAGAGAGAGAGAGAGAGAGAGAGAGAGAGAGAGAGAGAGAGAGAATATGAATCCAGAGGCATCTGGAAGAGTCCAGAGCAGAGAAATAAAGAAGTAGTCTGAACATGGCCATTAGATTGGGTATGGTCAAGGCTAGGATAGATGGAGAGTGAGAAAGAATGGTCAAGATAGCGAGGTAGCAAGAAATAGAGAATGGAATGTAAGTGAGAGAGTAAGAGTCAATATAGGAACAGTAGAGAATAGCATGGTATTAGGAAGGTGAATAGCTGCAGGAAGGGAAGGGCCAGTGGACTGTGATGTAAGCTTTGAAATGTTGTAAGAGGTACTTGGAAGCCAGCATGGACTTTGACATGTAGACACAGGTGTATGTCAATAGAGAGCCATGTATCCCTTCTGCCAAAGGGAGATGACTCCTTTTGTCGAATGGTAACTCAAAAGTTTCTGAGGAATGCTGGCTTTTATTTAACCACCAAAAAGCTTCTTATAGTTCAGCTTGAACTCATTTTTGGAGATTTCAGCTACCTAAGAGACCTAACATCTTTTTCTTTTTGAAGTATTTACTCAAGGAATGCAATCATGTTGGAAACTTAATAATGACCCTGGAGTTCTTTTACTTTGTTTTTGTTTGGTGTTTGTTTAACCAGGGGTCTCTAAAGAGCCCTACCCCCAGAAGCTAAGCACTTATTAACTGTTTGCTCAGTCTTGCCTGTGGTCCTTTAGGAACCTAACGTAATAGTCCCAGCCTGGCCACTTAAACACTTCCCTCTCTTTTAAGCCACATTTATCCAGGCATAGTGATGTCTATGCATCCCTTGGCTTTTCTTCCTTTATTGATCAGTTCACATGAGTCTCCTTTTCAAAAAGTTCTCCACTGTACTTCCTTTTTCTGACTCTCCAGGTTTTTACCTCCACCCCCCAATCATATCAAAACCTTTGTTCTTTAATAGTCTCCAGGAAGTGTGGGGGCTTCTAAATTTCTTTTGTGTTCATTATTGAAACTGTAAATTTTCCTATTTATTACTGATTCATGTTGTCAGATATATTGTACTATTAAATGTTTTCTTTTGTCAGCTGACTTTTAAGTTTCTTGCAAGTGTAAATATGTATATGACACATCCTTGTGTCTCCATGATGCCTTACAAATTTAATTGTATGTCTCCATACATGACTGTTTACAGAGTGTTTGTTCACTAATATTGGGATAAGATAGTATTTCTAAAAAAGAGAACTATGCAAGTTTTTGTTTTACTTTAGAGATAATTTTGTAGTTATCCAATATGGAGATACATATTCACTGAACTATTAGGATGTGTTTCAATTCAAATATATGTAGAGCATAAGGCTGGCAATTTATATCCAGAAAATATATCTAAGTGAAACTTCTCTGAAAAAATTTACTCCTCTATTGGTTATTTTTAGAATGTTACATTTCTGTGATAAGAATATTTTGTTAAAACAAATAAACAAATAAACAAACAAAACAACAAACGACTCTACTCATGAGTGTAGTGGGAACTGATCTTCCATTTGTTGAATACTGAGAGGGCAGAGGCTCCCAATTCTTGATATTTCTGTCAGACATGCTGCTGCTCTTTTTTTTTTTTCCTGCTCTTATAATAAAGGAAATTTGCTCTTAAAAAATAGTGAAATAATTTACAACCTTTCTTTCTTGCAAAACTACAACTCATGTTTTTTGCTCTTTCTAAATTGCTTAAATGGGTAAGTAAAAATGAAAGGTATTAGGAAAATAGGGGTTTCATCTCATGTATGAGTCATCTATTCACTAAATTCACAGCCATTCAAGAATAGTCTAATCCTAAATCCTCCAATATCACATTATCTCTAAATGAGGCAAGAGTAAGTAGCTTTACAGTTTTCTGAGTCATTAAGTACTTTATTTGTATTAATTATCCAACAGCTTTTTTTTAACTACTTGGATTTTTCTACCAAAACCAAAATTTATCTTTGAATCTATAATGGAGACAGTCACTAAATTCATTACTTGTTGTTTCTTTTGAAATCTTTGGACTTTGGAGTATATGCAGTCCCAGCACTTAGGAGACTGAGGCAAAAGGATCATCAAGATTTGAAGACCAACTGGGGCTATGTAGTAAGACCATCTTAAAGTAAGAAATAACCCACCTCTCCCTTAGGAGAAATAACTTCTACTCTTGTCAGCCTAAGATTAACTGTCTTTTAATTTTCCTGCCAAATTCTTCACTTTCCAAATAGAACTTTGCTTACCAACTTGTTTCAACAAACTTATTGTTGAAGACACATGAGGATGCTTACGAAAGTAGACTGAACTAAAAATCAATGGCACATTTCAAAGGTAAAAGGCACTTAGTTGATTCTAAGAAACACAATACATTAAAAAGTCTCAGAGGCTATTACCCTTGCTTTCTGTTTGATGACCTTGTCCCATTGGATGTGAAATCGGGTCGAAGAAATTGGTCCAGGAAATATCCTCTTGATTTTGTGTTGTTATTCTTTGACTTGGATGGTGGCTGTGGGCTGAGGCTGTTGTGAGCATGCAGTTCAAATAATTGTCAAAATGTTAATTGGCATTTGGTCAGGGATATATAGATTGACTTTTTAAAACAGACTTTATTCTCTAAAGATAATAATGGAAATAGCTTTCTAGTACTGAAGACAAGGAGCTCCATCAGTTTAGGATGTGTCCCAGCTTTGACTTCATTTATAATCATTTTCTTGGTCACCAGACTACGAGCTGGAGGATGGATAGAATTAACAAGTACTGTGATGGATAGAGGATGAATTACAAGCATCAAGGGAAGAAGATAAAGTAGTCCTCTTCTCGACACATGCCTCCACAGTCTCCTAAAGAAGTAAGTGTCAGAGATCAAGTGCATGATGTCACTCTGAGACAAGCACATCCCACAGCAAAATGCACAATGAGCTGGCAGTGATATACAGAAGACATAAGGTAATAGCTTCCCAAGTGATGAGCATGAAAGTGGTGCTCATCACAAAAGCACAGATGGAATCTATTAGAAGCATTGTCTTCTAACAGTGACAAATGGCATGTGGGCACACGGTTTATGCCTTTGTTCCATTCTGTGCCACTGTAGAAGTATAGGAAGAAAGATTACAATAGCATCCCTTAGAAATAAGCACACTAGGGAGCTAGTCACCAAACCTGCTGTTCTACTAGTGATTCATTTATAAGTTGCCATGCACTGTAAAGAAGTTATGCATCGGATTTTATATTTCAGTTGGAAACATGGAGATATTTCCCACTGATACCAAGTGATAACATGGAATTCACATGCTTTGCAGGGCAGGGTGAATCCCAATGCTTAATCATCCAGACAAAAGAACCATGCACCAGAGCTTGCAGAGGCATGTTATCATCCTGCATCCTTCAGAGATGAGAAGATTTAAGTCAAATTCCCATAACCCCACAGTTGCAGAATAGAGAAGATGGCTTATTTGCAAATGTGATTAAACAGTAGTACATTTGAGGAGATGTGTAAGAAACAGGCAAGAACAAAAGATTTGATGACATCACACAGTTGTCTTTTTTTTTTTAATGCTTGGATCCAATCCCCCAACACTAGGTTTTGGATAAAATTTTCATAATCCTAGTGTTTCACATAAATATAAGGAGATAGCAGAGTCTTGTTATATAGTGAATGATTTTTACAAACCAGAAAGGAGATTTTAATTGGATAGGAGCTCTGTCATTGTCTCACTGATACCTCAAATTGGATATGAAAGACGCTCATATAAATTATTCCTCTTGTGTGCTTCTATCCACACCTGGCCAGAGAGCTTATTAGTAGCTTTTAGATTCTGGATCTGTGTTTACTTCAAGAAACAGACCACTTCCTTCAGTTTATTTTGTGCATTATCTTCAATGTCCAGCATTGAACTCAAAAGGTAGTTTCCACCCACATTATGAAACCTGTCATTACCAGTTGTCCCTTCTGTCACATGGGAGTCTTCACTTGAGGTAGGGGGGTTCTTCCCCTGCCATCCATTCTCAAACCACTTCTCCTGCTGGGTAGCTGCTTCTTCTGCTGTACTATTAGGAGCTGCCCAGGCTGAGAGGAGAATGATGATGGTGAGAAATATTGTCCAGTTTCTTAACAAGCCCTTTAATATGTCTTGATATGTCTTTCTACATTACAGGTAGAGATAGATAGATAGATAGATAGATAGATAGATAGATAGATAGATAGGATAGACAGAGATGATAGACATGTACATACATACATATATGAAACTACAAATATACATACATATATACATGATACTACAAATATATATACATACATACATATATATGTATATATATATACACACATAGATGATAGATACAAAATACATAGATGATAGATAGATGCATACATGCATAGATGATGGATAGATTACAGATAGATGATTCATACATACATAGATGATAATAAATAGATGATAGGTATATGCATACATAGACAGTTGATTGATATATACATACATACATAGATGGTAGATGGATGGGCAATACATACACATACATACATACATACATTCATGTATACATATACAGAGATAGATAGATAGATAGATAGATAGATAGATAGATAGATAGATATAAAGAAAGACAATAGAAACCAGGGGATGAGTTACTAATATTCTGAAAGGTAGATTCTAGAACTATAACACGCAACCTGTTAACTTTTCTGATGGGAAAACAAGTTTCATTTTCTGAAAATCATGTACACAGAGTAGCACAGAGTCAAGACTAGACCCTAACCTGTGAATTATGAACTCTCACTATTATTTCTAATTTAATATTTTCTATGGTTTTACATATTCTGCCAAAGGGAGCTTCTGTTGGAAGAATAATCTCTGTGTTTGGGTGATTTTGCAGGAGACAATGTGTTATATAACAACTCACAACACTACTGTAATAGTAGAGCTTTGCAATCAGGCTGTATAACCTATAATAACACTCAGCAGAAATGGCTGGCATGCACGCTGTCGGGATGCCTGGGATGTTACTACACTGACCTACTATGTGATTGTCGAGGGACATTTTAATTGCTAAAATCTCTTCTTAACAAAGCTAATTCAGTGGAAGAAAAACCTATTCTAGCCAGTTGGGGAATTATATAAATAATAACAGTATCAGACAGGCTTAACCTTTCAAGCATTGTTTTTAAAAGTCGAGATGACTGGGATAAAATCCCATTAGGGTGCTTCCTGGAAAAGTCAGAAAGCCACTGACATTTTCATCTGCAACAGCTCCTGGCCAATTTCTGATTCATCAGGAACGCTAGAGACTATAAACTGCCAAACCAAATGAATATTGTGTTCGCTCTATCTCATTATCTTAGAAAATGATGTGTGACTTTATAATAACAAATATAGTTTTTAAATGGGACTCATGCTAATTTTGTTTTTATATTTTCCAATCCATTTGGGGGATTAACTGATTGTCCAAAGGGAGAAAGGCCCAAAATCTAAAATTATGTTCTATTATTTTAAGTCATTAAGCACACATGTGTGCTCACAAACTTACACATATGTCTACATTCAAACTATCATCTTTCATACAGTGATCCTTCAAGCACCCAACTATGCCCTAGCATTTCCAGAACAGTCAAGAATGTGTTAATGAAACAGGACTTTCACTACATACCATAAGGGTTGACTCTTTTCTAAAAGTTGTTATGTCCCCTCAATGAAGTCATGTGTACTTTTGCAAAAATGGTAACTTCTTTTTGTTAAATGTATCTGGATTCTGAAATTTTCTTTGTAAGGATGTCCCTAGGCCATCATATTTCGACATTAGACACATTAATTCCAAGTTTCTTAATTAGCATTCTTCTTTTTTCATTATATATATATGATTTTATTTATATGAGTGCATGGTAGCTGTCTTCAGACACACCAGAAGAGAGCATTGGATCCTATTATAGATGATTGTGAGCCATCATGTGGTTGCTGGGAATTGAAGTCAGGACCTTTGGAAGAGCAGTCAGTGCTCTTAACCGCTGAGCCATCTCTCCAGCCCAGTTAGCATTCTTCTTAAGAGAAAATGTTTTACAGTAATTAATAAGATTTCTGATAGATCCTGGAGGAGATTGGAATGGGTCTGATTTCTAAGAGACATCTGTTTCCTTTCTATTCTTTTTTTTTAACAGTCTACTTCTTGGTTAACTCAACCCTTAATCTTCATGCATATATCAACTTTACTGGGATAAAGAAGAGAACACAATGTCTGTTAGACATTCAGTACAATGCCCAGGGCTTATTAACTCATATCTCAACCATTTCTTTGATTCTTTGTGAACACATCCATCAAACCAGGAAATCCTAAGTTTCTTTGGTTTCTAAGTAGCTGTTTCTTAACATTTCCCTTTAAGAATGTTCAAACATAAAAATGGTGATTGAGTCATAACTTAAAAATGCTATAAGATGTCATCCCAAGGACCAGTTGTATTCCAAATTATTAGGCATTTCTCTGAGATACAGATAAAAGATGAGTACATGTCCCTCTTTTTTTATCTTTGTTTTATTGTCCTAGGTTCACAAACCATTGTTGAGATATGAGATTGTTTTTTGAAAAACTTGACATATTTGTCTATAAGTAGAAAGAACAGTAAGAGCATCAGGACATTTTCCAACTTGCCATGAGTGTTTTAAACAAAAGAAGGGTAGCTTAGAATTTAAAAAGAGAACTTAGGAGCCACTGACTTCTCACCAAGGACAGAAAGAGTTCCATTCTACCACAGAGCAAGGAAGAGTGTGATAAAAGAAAGTGTATCACAGAGCTTCATAGAAGATGGAGACTAAAGATCTGCCCACTCATGAAACTTTCCTCCCAGCTCCCACACTAAATACCTGAAGGGCACACTCACATCATACATTTCCAAAAACACACAGCAGCTACCAAAACAGAACCCTTAGGAACCATTAACACACAAACAGCATCTCATGTCTATTTTGCAGACATTCTTGTCTCTTGGAAAATCTGACAACTTGGCATCTTTATTCCTTATTTTTAAAAATGGCCCCTTTCAGGCACTGCAGATAAATTTACTATGCAGACAGAAAAGATGTGGCCAAAAGCTAAACATCTCTGATAACTTGGGTACCAGAACTTCAGTGCATCATTTTTCTTACTTGTGCTTGTAGCATGTGGGGTCTCCTCTTCATCCTGATACTCATGGTTATTGAAAGGAGGCTGTGGTTCCTGGGTCCAATTTTCTCCATGAGCACTGGTGCTGTTTCTGTCTATATCTGTTGTAATGACGTTTAAGTACACTGTGACTTTTAATCAAATAGTCTTTAGTAATCTTCTTCTACTAAAGTACATGTTATCTATCTACTGGTCCTATGCCTAAGCACTATCTCTAAGTACTTACTCTCAATAAATCTGAGTGATTTCACTAATCTTTCCCAAGAGAAAATGAACAGGTACACATTTCTTTGATATTGCTTATTATTCTAGAATAGCCACTTTGTCAGAGGGAGTACCATAAACCATTCAGATATATTCATTTTTATAACAAAGTGACATAAAATACCTTATGTTCAGGAAGTATGGTTGACAAATGACTCCTGTGTGGAATGTTCACTAAGGATTTGTGATGAGACATTAATTAATTGTCCCATTGCATCCAAAGGTTTGACCTTCACAATATCATAAGCTTTGAGAGAAAGTATCATTAATGATATGTGCATAACTCATTACCAGTCATCCTGGTGGTTGTCTGAAGTAGTACTTCCGGGTTTGAATGGATTGGCTTCCACTGGGTCCAGTCCTGGTTCTGTTCCTTGTGAGCAGAAACCCGTGGAGTAGTTGCAACTGTCATAATGATGATTGAGGGAATTAGGAAAATGTTATTTCTTGAGCCTTCACTGCTTGCTTTGTACATTTGTCTCTTCTGTAGACTACACAGCAGCTCATCTATACAGGGCTGTATAGATGGTTGAGTGGAAATGACGGAGAAGGAGAGAGTCTTAGCTTCATCCACCATGTTGCTTTGTACCTCAATGTTCTTTCAATTCTATCATAGAATATCTTCGGGTTTAGGGCATGAGATCTTCAGGATATAATAGTGAAGGATGTTGCAACAGTAGGAAGAACAGCTTGAAAGCACTAACCCTCCACCAATAATGACCAAAGCTGTGAAGAGTTTTGCCCATTCATGCAAATTGGAGGAATCCACTGCACCCGAAAATTATTCATTGGTATCACTGGTAGGTGTGCTAACTGTAGATCCTTCAGCTGAAGAAGTTGATAGCTGAGTTATAACAGAATCACTATTGTGATAGTGATTTTACTGGGGAAAGAAATAACCACAAGAGCCAAAGCTTTATCTGTAGATGGTTTTTGGAAGGAATGTATGCTTCATAGAGCCATTTGTCTGAGCTACTTTTTTCTGAATATATACTAAACATCCATGAGAGTCCCATTGAATACAGACATGATATAAGCAAGCCATTCACAGCTAATGAAAGAGGACCAATATGCATACGTATATAGAAAAGAGCCAGAAGTAACCATCCACCATCAGCACAACACATTGGAAAACAAAGACATGTCAGTTCACCGATGTCCCAATAATAGCATGCAAAATAGGAAGCCTGGAACAGAAGGTGCAAAAAGATCCATTTTGACAAAATCTGAAACAATATATTTTGTGAAAAGGCTATTTGCAAGTTCAACTTCCTTCAAATTCTATTTTGATACCCAAATAACACAAAACCATTTTACCAGTCAAGAAAATAATTTAGAGTCATTAACCACATTTCTAACAATCTTGAAAAAGTGGTAGTTAGCCCAAGTCTCCAAAAGAAAAAGTGCATCCTGTTGAGTTAAAGGGTATATGTATCACATAGAAAAGTGAACTGAAATTGAACACACTCTATAAAGATGGGGGAGCAGAGCACGGGAACTTTATCTCCCAGAGTCTGACCATATAGCATATTTGCAAGGAAGCTACGTTCTAAACCTAGAGGGCGCTGTCACAGTAATGCTCAGTATGTGGGGTTCCTTGGGTTCTGAAGTTCCTAAGCTCTGCAGAAGCATCTAGCCCAAGAAATACACCACCTAAGTCTCCATATAGAAAATCTGGTTTGTCTCTAGTATTTGCTGTATCATTGCCACACACTCTGATGCCTTCAAGGTACTTTTAGATTCTGCCGTCCCTAGGTACTATTCACTTGGGAATGAAATCCTCCAATTTTAATAGAATAGACAGAACTCTTATTGTCTAAGATAGCTGATATAGCACCTCAAAACCCTTTCACCAAAGAGTAATTGAATCAGCTTTATGCATCTCATCTCTTTCCAGAAAAATCTTTACTTAGGACAAGTATAGAGGAATCTGTCATTTGTCAGGACAGGATGTTTTTCTCTACAATCTCCACCTCAGTGTTCATAGGAAGGTTTATAGGGCTCACAAGTTTGGACATGGTAACACAGTGGTGTCACTATTTGTTTTTAGTAGTCAACGTTGTCTTTTTAGAGCTGTGGTGGCATTTATTCTTCTCTCCAGAGCAATTCTGTTATATGGTGTCCAGCAAGTTTGTTGAAACTTTTTGAGTTTTTTCCTTTAATCATAACCATTTTTTGATTAATTAAGGTAGTTCTTGAGCTCGGGCTTCTATGCTTTAAGCCATTCTAGGGCATCCCAAGCTTTCAATTCAAGTCATGTGAAACTTTTAATGACCATCTTCCTAATCACATGAACATTTGTCCCAGAAGTCCTTGAGTCTCTTGTAGGTAAAAGTTCTGGCCTTTCCATCCCTGTGTTCCTATCATCTGGCACAGCAGGGGCACAATGGATACTAGTTGTGGTGCTTTAATATGCCATCCCCCAGCTACATTTGAAAATGTAAATATTTCTCTAAAAGCAAACACTGATGAATAGAACAGGAGGAACACTGGGTGTCTGAAACTTCATGAGGTATTTTTCCCAGCAATATCTTTTGGTTCCCATTCGTGAAGCTTTATTTCCTCCTCAAAAGTCTCATCAGAATGGAATTAAGGTAAAATCACAGGTTCAGTCATTGTTCACATCACCTGTTTCCCAAGAGAGATACTATATATATCATTTAGGTCCCTCATCAAGCCCTGCATAAATGATTCTACTGTAATTGAGTATTCTTACTGGTGCTGGAGATAAAATCTTCATCATCATCAATGCCTGATCCAGAAAAACTGGGGTATTTGTCTGTTTCATCTTCATTTTCCTCATTTGGCTCCCAGCCTGTTGAGTTGGTATTTGACTCCGTACCTGTTGTGGTGACTTACATTAGTAGTTGAGCTGATTGCCAAGCAACCCATTTCACCAAGGAAGAAAGTCAGGCATGGGAGGTATCATGGAGTTCCCAAGATTTTAAGAAGAAAACAAGAGAGTAGTTTTGTATATCTGCAAACCCTCACCACTGAAGCTAATGTATGGACCTTAAAATGACTTGTTATGATCTTTACAACTCAACATTCTCATTAAGAAGGCTAAAGAATAACCATCAGTAGAGCTGGCCAAAGGAGTTAGAGCAAAACACAACAAAACACAGGCCCATGCAAATCCCCCCTTGCTTTCAGATGTCTTTCTTTTTACATCATTAGCATATTATATTGAAGTCAGGATGTCAGGACAAGAATAGGAAGATTTCACATATCCCTATTTGCTGTTTCAAGACACTTTCAATAACACCCTGATGCTACATTTCCAAAATCTTATAGTTGCATTCATATTTTTCAAATTCATTTGTTTTCTTCTATTCTTACTTTTTATCAGGGTTCATTGTGTGAAGTAAAGGGTTTCATTCACTAGAAACAAGGGTTTTCATTGGACATTTCTAAAAAGGCACATGCATTTTCTCAGTCTTTAGCATCAGATCCTGTGTCTCTAATGTGATTAAAAGCAAGGAGTTCCCAAGATTTTGCCCATTCTCAATAGAATTTACCATGACAGGGGGATAAATTAACAGAAATGTTCTTGCCATTTATTAATCATCTAAAATTGTTCAAAAGGGTTTATAACAGTGGATCACAGTTCAAATATTGAGGATTTCCCCCTTTCAATCATTAAACCCAGCTTTTTATAAAGGAAATGGAAACTTTTGTTCTCTTCTTAGCAGTTACTTCAAAAGATTTCACTTTACTAAAATGGATTCTTCTAACATCTGAATGCAATTCAGGCTACCTTACGGGATGACCATTTGGTTTTCTTATTATTGATGTCCAACCCAAGACTAATTCAATTGATAGAAATCTTTTATATTTTGGTAGCTATGGCTATGTTATTTTACATTGTCATAAAAATGTTTTTTACTTCAGTAATTTGAGGGTATGCCCAGACACTCTGTTAGAGTTTAAATGTTCTGTTATCACCAAATACTTGGCCTGCTACATAGTTTCCTAATTAGCTTTATCCTGGGCTATATAAACCCCTATAAAGTATAGAGAAGAAAATCATGTATTAGTAATATTAAATCAAACATACAGAACACAGAGTTCAAGATCCTTCCTAAACTAACACATACATTTGTGAGACAGAATAGTGTTTTGACTTTAACCACATCCCATAGGTTAATGAGAATTATTAAAGACTGTCAAGCAGGCATATGTTATATGGTATCTATAACTCATTACCAGGCATCTTCGTTGTTGTATGAAAATGACTCTTGAACTCTGATGGTTGAAAAAACCATGAAAACCAGTTCTGGGCTTCTTGCCTCTTGGGTGGTGTTTCAGGGGTGGTCATCAAGGCTGTTGTAACCATGATTGAATTGATTGTTGAAATGTTAGTTATCAGTTCCTAAGAAATAGCACCATACATTTTTTCACTCTCTCCCTACATAGAAAATCATCTCTTCTTGACATAGGTGGTAGAAAGAAAGGGAAAAAGTAAAGTAGAAGAATAGAAGTTCTGTTTCTTTCAGCAGTCCAAACTATAGTTCACAGAGTGTCAGAGGTGGAGGAACCTTAAATAAAAAGTGTTCCATGCTTTCATTTTAAGATTAAAAAACCTTTGCTGGACACTTATGTGAAGTCCAATTGGCAGAAAGGACATCTCAAAACTTGCACGAGAACTATCTGAAGTTCCAGTCTATAAAATAGAACAGTGATTTATTATTTGTCTCCTTTCCCATCAGGCCAAATTATTACCCATAGTGAAAATTTCCAAAATAGAATGTTCTTCTAAAAACTAGAATTAAAGTATCAGATGATTAGAAAAGTTGGTTGAACTAAACCATTTAAGATCCTCTCCAAATCTGACCATTTGTGACTTTAATGGCCAGCTCTTAGGAACCCAAACCCTATGATGTTCTTCACAATTGAAGATGGCCAACCAATATCATTCCCTAGGAGTTCAGGATATGATATCTCTGCCAGAAGTCACAGGCATATGACCCCATGAACCCCAAATGCATGGGAGAATGGGGCAGGAAGAGAGACGTAGAAGACTTCTTTTCACCTTTCTCCAAGGAGGATGCATATACCATAGAGACATGGCTCATAATCATTTCCATGTCAACACTCTACTTTGTAAGGAAGAACAGTCCATTTTAAAAAATAGTAGAATAAACCAAGACAAACAGGAAGAAATGAAGAGATCCACTGACTCCACCAACACCAAAGCAACAGACTTGATTTGAACACTCCCAAAGATTGCCAATTATGTCATCATGATGTACATGGGAATATGAAATAATAGGAACCCAAAATACCAGGATAAGTTGAAGCAAAGAAAGCTGAAGCCATCAATAAAATTCCAAATACAATGGTCAATGAGATTCCTTTTGCCAGCTATCAAGAAAGCCCAGTAACAATTCAAAAAGAACCACAGCCGCAAAGCCCCTTTCCTTCCCATGGTTTGTCCTATAAAGATGTATTATACAAGTTCACAGATACAAATATCATTTTCCTTACTCTGACATTTCTCCCCCACAGTCACACATCTCAGCATTTTATTAATTATTGTGATGTGGTAATCATAGTAGAAGAACATCAGCAGGGTTTCCTTACACGATTACAAGGACACATACCTACACACATATACATACATACATACATACATACATACATACATACATACACACATACACACATCACTTCCCCATTTCTGAAGAGAGAATGTCTATTTGAAATATGGCCATATTATCTGTCAATATAGATTAATAAGTGAAAAAGTTCCTATTATCTCCCATTATTATAAACCAGTGGTTATCAATCTTCCTTGTGCTGCAACCCTTTAATACAGTTTCTCACATTATGGTGATCCCTAATCATAAAATATTTTCGTTGTTACTTCACCACTGTAATTTTGCTACTGTTATGAATTGTAAGTATCTGTGCTTTCTGGTGGTCATTCAGTCTCCAAAGAGATCTCAACTCACAGGTTGAAAACTGCTGTTATGGACTGATTCCTTTTGCCAAGCCCCTAGGGCAAAGCTACCAAGTCAAATTACTTGAGTGCTAATGACCACATATCCTCAGAGCTTATTTGTCACCCCTAGACACTGATATAAAGCAACAGCTCATGTCACTTCTTGGTGTTTTCAGAAAAGGCTTTCAGTGTCAATTTTTTTTAAAGTCTATGCTTTTTATTCATTAATCATTACTTCTTTCTTTTATTGATATGATCATTTGGTCCATAGATGGCTTTTTAGAGGTCATTTCTTCAATGACTCTCCTAGACCCAGGAAAACTAACCTGACTCTGTGTCCTTGTTGCCAAAGTGAAAGTAAGGCATTTGGGAGACATTAGGTCCACAGATTTCTGTGCCACTGACAACATCCGAACCTGATATCAGCAAGGATGCTGCCTATGTATGAGAGTGAACATCTATCCTTCTTAACACCTCACTGAAGACAGGTGATCAGCGAAAGATATGAGAGTTTACCTGTAGTTGCTGTCGTTGTGGGCTCTTGAGTCTGAGTTGTGGATTGTGAATTACCAAACCAAGACCATATCCAATTATTTTGTTTCTGAGCTGCTGCATGGCTTTTTGAGTACACAGTTGAAGCAACTAGATTAATTATGAAAATAGTGTTTAGTGAGATTTGCCTACCTTCTATAAAACCTGTGTGTTCTCTGTCCTAATAGAATATATTTATTATAGAATGAGGATTTAAAAAGGGAAGTTGAGACTACTTTTATATTTCCAGACTCCCACTATCTAGCAGGATCTCAAGACAGTATCAAGAAGGCAGATTAGGGTGTGAATTCAGTGCTTCTCAGTCTTCAACTTGAACTCTCTCAATCGTGTCCAGAGCCAACTCAAGCAGCAAAGTAACTGTGATGGAGAGAGATTTGCTCTTCTCTTGATGGCATCATTCAGCCACGATCAGGAAGTCTTCAGTGCAACAGAGCTTACAATGGCATCCATTAATTTATCTTCAGAGATACTTTGAAGATGCCTGCATCTTTTCTATCTGTTCAGCATTGTACCTACTCAGATAGTCTGTGAAAACTGGCATTTCAAGACTCCACCCACACTCATCAACACAACTTAAACTTTATCGTTGGGCAAGAATTTTGTAGAGGGTATATAAAATGTTGTCAGTAGATAAAACTTTCTCCAGTATCTGTCTACCACTTCCCCACATAGAGATGACAAAAGCAAAGAATTGTTGAACTCTTTTAAAGTTAAAGAAAGGATAATATAAGAATATTTTGTAATTAAAAAAATATTTCATTTGACTTTCAAGTTGAACTGGTTTGCAGAATGTTCCCCCATAGTAACAAAATACTAAATGCTATTGGAATAATTATCTGAATCAGCTGGGATTTTAAAAAAAGAAAATGTTTTAGATCAAACATTTCCCTGAAAATCTCGGTTATGGTCTCCACATACTGAAAGTGGTTCTTGCATACCATGGAGAATCTATTGGATCCCATGTAAACCCCAGTTTAGAACTGGAGCATCACACATAACAAATACCGAAGATCACATTAGTGAGAGCAGAGAGAGAGGTAGTTACAATGTTCTCAGGAAGGCACCCAAAGAGGCTACAGACTGCCTCCTATGGAAAATTAAACTAAAGATGCACAGTTTCTGACCCCCAGAAAAATGAGCTAAGAAAAAAAATGGACATAGAGAAGACAAAATGAGCATTATGTCACCTTCCTAAGTGGAGTTGTATGAGAGGAGACAGTGAAAGAAGTGTCAGCCTAGCCATCAGTTTTCAATTTGCCCCACCCAAGAAAGGTCATGCAAGATGAAAAACAAATTATTCACTTGACACCCAGAAGACAGGAAGTAGAGCTTTCCAAGGCAGGAGCTTATTTCCTAAATTAGTTTAGGCTTCTTGATTCCAGAGAATTCCAGATGACCAATAAGATGGAACTGATGACACACCTCCAGGCTGTCTCTTCCAAAAATAACATTTATAATAAGCGGCCAGTGGGATAACCCAAGCCTACAGAGCCTGTTGTTCTTGCTAGTTTTCCCTGTTGCCACCCACTGAGCACCCTTTAGGAAGGAATGAGCTGGTTAAGCCAGGCACAGCTTCTTCCATGTCCTCAGCCAGCCCAACTCTTGACTTCTGCTCCCCTGCATGCTAATCTGCATCCACTCCTTCTCACTGTGTCTTAGCCCTCCACCCAACAGTGATAAATAAGCCCTCAGGAAGCTCCTCGTTGGACTTAAACAGTAGGATTCTCTTCAGAAGCTCAGCTAGCATAACTCTATCATGCTACATGCTACATGCTACATCCAAGTAAACGTAAGCTGGTAGGCAAACTGGCCTCTCCTCCACACCTATTAAAAAGAACTGAATAAGCCATATTCTATGAGAGAAAGAAAGAAAGAAAGAAAGAAAGAAAGAAAGAAAGAAGGAAAGGAGGGAGGGAGGGAGGGAGGGAGGGAGGGAGGGAGGGAGGGAGGGAGGAAAGCAAAGGCTCCCTTCCCCCTGAAATCCTGAGCTATGTTTTAGTTAAGCTGGAGGGACAAGGATGACCCACCTCTGACCCTCATAAACTACAGCAGTGTCTGGAGCAGAGAAGATATGATACAGAGTAAATGAATGAGAACCTCACTGACCCTGGTTTCTCTTTGATATTACTCTACCACAGTTTCCACCAGAGAGGAAATGACCTGGGAGAGCACGGGAAGCTTAAACAGATATACCTTGTAGGTGGATGGAGTCTGTGTACTTGTGCATGTGTGGAGTCCACAGGTTGACATAAAGATGTTTTCCTTGACTGATGTCCACCTTATTTTCTGAGCTAAGATCTCTCATTATACCTGAATTTGGCTAGACTGGCTAGGCAGCAAGCAGGGTACCTCCTGTCTCCATCACCCTTGTCATTAGGATTGCAGATGCATGCTGCTGTGCTCAACGCTGGGACTCTGAGTGTTAGAATGGATCTGGTACAAAATTAGGACCTTAAAAGGGATTCACTGACTGGCTAGCTTGGATTCGGAAGGAGTGGTGCTTAGGGAATGGGCTAAGGATGCTAATATAACTGGTTAATTACTTCTCTTCAAGCACATGTGAAACTCCCACCCCACACAGGTTGGGACGCCAGCCACATTCAATCTCCACATGACAAAGTTTATTCTTTTGGGATAGAAAATAGGACTTTAGGTTAGACCTGTTCTGCTTCCTTATCAAACCACTGACTACTGTATTTGCCAACATCTGTCAAAACTGCACACCCCAATGAGACACACGTCTGACATAGTCACATCAAAAGGGCAGGGATCCAAGTAGCTGCACATAGCTAGCAACATCACCTGCCTGCTCTGTAGAAGTCTCTATGAAGAAGTATTTCCCAGAACACTACAGACAACAAGGTGACAAATCATCAGAGAGGAAGTGACCTAGGAGGACATGAGAAGCTTGAGTAGCTGTGCGTCTTGTGGACAGATGGAGTCTCTGTACTTGTGCATGTGCGGAGGCTTGGGGTTGACATAAAGATGTTGTCTTGATTGCTGTCCACCTTAGTTTTTGAGATAGGAACCCTCACTGAAGCTGAAGCTCACTGAATTGACTGGGCTGGCTAGCCAGCAAGTTCTAGGTCTTCCTCTGTCTCTGTCTCTCTAGTATTAGGATTACAGATATACACTGTCATGCTCAACTTTTTGTGTAGATGCTAGAGATCAAAAAAATCTCAGGTCCCCATGTGCCTGCCTGACAAGCACTTTACCCGTTGAGCTATTTCCAAACCCCCAGAATCTGATGGAATTTTGTTGTTGTTTTGTTTTTTTGTTTGTTTTGTTTAGTTTTTTGGAAAGCCTTCAAAAAATTTTCTGGGAATGACCAGAATCTTGCACCTGTTCAGAGCACCCCTTCCCCTCACTCAGCAACCTGATAACAGAAATCTAGAACACTGTTAGGTGAGATCAGCTTACATCAGAGTGCTAAGAAGGACTCCTGGCTTCTGGGTGACCATGGAATTAAAAAGGGCCCTATCTTGAATATTCTCAAGCCAGTACATTCCTGTAAAACTATGAAAAAGCCAGAGTCCCACCCCTCTGAGTTTCAACCAGGAGATGAGAAAATCCACACCATACTAGGAGACCCAGTGAAGACAAACTTAGCTGCCCTTTTTGGGTCTGAATAACCCCCCACAGAAGGAGCCCAGCCATCTGAAACCTTGTTCTAATACAGATCATAGAGGAAGTGCAGAGAGGGAAGTAGAGGAAGCTCTGAGCATCTTCCTAACAAAGCCCAGCTGCACAAACTCAATGCTGCATTGGCAGCCTCCCCTGCTGTTACCCACAGATACCCAAAGAGCATTAGGGTCTTCCCCCACAGACTGCAATCCAGAACACTGCAGCTGACAGGTGATCAAAAAATCCTTCACTTTTGGTACCTTGGGGGCGGGGGGAAGCATGGTTTGAAAATTAGGGTTAAGAATATGGATATTACACAATCAGAATCCTAAGAATGGATCTTTTAAGGTGTTAATGGAGCATACACTCTACAGTCCTGACTTTAACAGAACAGTTTTCTCTATGGTGCAAAATGACAAGAATGAAACAAGCAACATCACAAATTATTTCTGTAACAGGTCTGAGGCATTGTTAAGTCCTTAGGAACAAGAGAAAAGCAGCACCTTCCTGAAGAAACCCTTCTGATATGGCATTCCTCAACCCAAGGTAAGAGGTTCAGAGGTGAAGACGGAGGAGATGTGAAGGGGAGTAGAAGCCAGTGCCTAATGATCAGGAGCACTGACAGGAACAGGAGCCAGACTCCCTAAATGATCTCACCCACATCTAGATGCCTAGGGATGGCAGAAAATAGACCCTGGGGTGTGCGTTACTCAGGAGAGCCATTGGCATTCTGTCCAAGAACTGCTAGAGGAAAACCCAGGATTCCCTTCTCCTTACTGGTGGCCAAGGTGCTCCCAATAAAGGTGTCATCCTGGTCTCCAGTAGGCTGTGAAGTGGGAAGGTAGGTGTGGAAAATGTAGCCTTCTGGGGTGCTCTTCTCAATGGCGGATCCGCTGCTGACATCATCATCTATAGTGTTAGAGGCATCAATGTCTTCTTGGTGTGTTCTATACTCGCCCTTCTTGCTGTAGCGGGTACCATCACGGTTGACAATAGCTGAAGGAGATACAGATGCACTTTTAGAACTTCATAATGGATTGTCCTATAACATGACGTTAAAGCTACTTTCTTTTGCTCTAAACAACAATCTGTCTGTCTAGTGCTCACATAGAATGGGTGAGATGTTGAGATAATTCACCCTCCTTGCCCCCATACTCTGGAAATGAGGAGGAGAAAGTTGCAGTACCAGGGAGGAGAAAGTTGCAGTACCAGGGAGCTCCCGTATTTAAATCTGAGCTTTGAAGAGCTTTAGGCGAGGTGACCCTGTGAGCTTCAGTTTCTTTCTCAGTAAAGGAATGGCCCAGCCTTCTGAGTGGGGTTGTCATGAGCTGCACATGATTCATTGCTATTAGTGCTCAACATGGTAATCAAAATAAGAAAAGGATCAATAAGTGACACTTCTGCCACCCTATACAGTCCCTTCTGAAATACATGTACATTTTGTTACTGTTAAATCCATCCAACCCCAGAAAGGATTTGAAATAGTCATATAGACTTCACAAAAAAGCATATATTTGTAATCTGTTAGAAAGATTCTTTTCAAAAGGTAACTTTTGTCAATTTAATCACACACATACACAAACACACACACACACATACACACACACATGCACACCCACGCGCACGCGTGTTTCTGGCTAGAAAACTGGTTTATCTAAATACTGGATAGATGGATGCTCCAACCATCCTCAGGGAAATTCAGGGTAATATATATATTCATATGTGTTAATTTTACTCTTTATATATCTATAGATAGATAGATAGATAGATAGATAGATAGATAGATAGATCAGAATCTTTGGTTTAATAAGAAAGTGACTAGAATGAACCAGGGTAGAAAAAGTAGAAATGCAATCAATACATTATCCATCCTTAAAACATATTTTTTGCCTTAATTCTCAGCCATTTGCTACACACGGCTACTTATATGTACACTTTGCCAGAAATTGTTTTTTGCTGAATTGCATGTGTGGTACCAAGGATTCCTTTGTTTCACTTATGTAGCTTGCTTAAATGAGACTCTCAGTTGGAAAAATTTTCAACATCTCAGTTACCCTGAACATCAAGCGAAGGCAATTCATATTGTCTTATTATTTAAAAATATTTACCTAATGTTTGTGAGTGTGTTTTGTATGAGTTTATGTGTACCATGTATGTGCAGGAGCCCACAGAGGCTGGAAGAGTGTGTTAGATCTTCTTGAACTGGAGTTACAGGCAGTTGTGAACATCCATGTTGGTGCTGGGAATTGAACCCAGGCTGTATGCAAACACAATTAATACTCTTAACACTAAGACATCTTTCCAATCTCCAGACAATTTACAAAGAATGGAGGTTTGTTTGGATTATGGCCCTTGAGTCTAGGCAGAGAAGTCCAAGAACAGTGTCTGTTAGGGATCTGCTGCAGGTCCACTCGGTGCATCCTGTGGCCGAGGGCATCACATGGAGACACAGCAAGTGAGCCAGCTCAGGCCTCTGTCCCTCACCTTATAAGGCACTGATGTCATCAGGCTTCATCCTCTTTACCCCATTGGGTCCTAACTACTTCTCAAGGACCTCCATTCCATTTAATCTTGATGTGTAAAATTGGGAGTTAAGTTTTCAACACATGAATCTGTGGCAGGTGTGCAGGGTACATATTCAAACCATGGTATTGATAAAAGTTACATAAACCTGGACTTTGGAGGAAATTTTTAGAAACCATGGAAACTGAGCGTTTCTCAAGCATCTGATGTGGGCCAAGTGTTCATGAAACACATTAGAGTTGCATGATAAATTCTTATATGTTGTATCATTATACACAAGAGAAAACTGAAGGTTAGGGAAAGTTATTGCTGTATTCTCACATGCCAGCTGTTGGGATGCAAAGCATCCTGTGGCTGCTACAGGCACAGGCCAAATGAGAGGCTGGATTTACACAGTCTGCGAAGGCATCACACTACTGCTGCCCCTATGTCCACATCCTCTGCTGGGAGCTAGCTCCAAGGAAGCAGAAATGGAAGCAGAAGCAGAAATCAGCCTTTTCCAACATTGCTCTTCCTCCCAATGAGAGGGGGCACAGAAGCAAAGCCTCTAGGGTTATAAGTTAACTTGCTGGAAAGCTCTGAGAAGGGTTTTGCATCTTCTAAATTGGCACATGCAATTCTCTATAGATGATCTGAGGTGGGTGTGGCATAAATGGTATTGAAGCTCACATCAGGAAGCCTGTGTCCATCATAATCGTGTACATCAGCTTTACAACCAGAGAATTCCCAAGTGGAAGTCTCCACCCTTGAGACTGATTTACTCTCTGTTAGACAGAACACAGCTCAGATGCACAGTCTTCTATAAGTTGAAAATATTATTTACTTTTTCTTTCACTTTAAATTGATTTTTAAGGTTGCCCTCAATTTATGACAAGTGATGTTGGTTGTCCATTTGCAGTCTCTTTTGCAAAACAAATGTATTTTAAGCAGGAGAGAGTCAACCACAAGAAAAAAAAAATCAAGTAAACTATAATGCTGTGGAATACACAGACTGACTTCCAAAATGTGGAAGTGAGTTTCAAATGACTGATATTTTAGAAACAAGGCATAGAGTAAATTAGAGAACAGCTTCAAGCCAGCATGGGAAATGGGAATGGGTTTGTGTAATCACAGATGTTCTTCCCTTAGGGATACGACTTAATAGCCTATGCGAATATTAACAATGAGAACATGTCAGATGCCTTCCCCAAGAACAAGACAAATCACCAGAGATGAGAAGGGGTACATACTTATGGTAACTGGTCCATCAAAGGAATTAGGTAGGTCTGTGACTGATGTACAGTCTTCTTCAAGAGGAGCTGTGAGGAAGGAAAACAAGAGTATGAAATAAAAATAAATAATTTAAACAAATTTCACAGCTGATGTGTCCTATCAGTCAGTTAGAATAACATTTACTCGAATTTATCCTAAATAGCTTTCTTTCCTGAAATTTGGTAAATCCAAAAGGGACACCCCTTTGTAAGGTGCTTTTACAATCTTATTTAACTTCGATAGTTTCAATGAACTTACTATTCCCACCACAGCAACTGCATTCATTAGGAAAGGCATGTGTTCTAGGTCAGGTGTGTAGACACTTGTAATCCCAGATCTGGGATAAACACCTTGGGCTATCCCAGAACAGTGGGAGGCAGGTATTCTGTGTCTGAACTGTAGCTGTTTTATGTTTAATTAGAAATAAGATAGACATAGGCCCATCTCTAATTAAGTATACCATTAGAGAGGATTCAAAACCTCTTTCCAATTAAAAAAGAAATATGTGATCATTGTGAAAAAAGTTAAAAATGAAGGCATGTATAAATGATCATGAGAAATAATTTATAATCCCAGATATCAAATTGAGTGATAAAAAACTGGTGAACACATACAATTGACATGAATATTGAAAGACTCTGAAGATTAAAACATTACCAATGGATTTACCTGATAATCAAAATATTTAGTAAGTAGCAAATCCCACCTTTTATTAAAAAATTAATGGCTTCATTAGTTTGGCTAATATTATGAGTGCTTTCTCCATGTGCAGGGCTTCTCAGTGTCCAGCTAGGGCTGTGCACCTTTGACATAGACACTCTTGCTGTCTTAGCATATATTATTTGGCTCTTTTTCTCTTCTCTTCTAGTTTTCTTTTACCCTGACCCCTTCTCTATGATTCTAAACTGTGATTTAGGCTAGCTGGTCGCCCACAGGTATTTCATGTAGCCTTCTGGCCAGTGCTGCCTGCTACCCTCAGAAGCCAGGACTGGTATTTTACCTTTCGTGTTATCTCCTAAATCCTAAAAGCAAACAAGGTTGACTTAACTACCACCCCAGCCATGCCTCAATCCTCAGTGTCCATCAGTGACTACAGAGCTCTCAAACCCCATAGAGCTATAAAACGATGTTGCTTTAATGTGGAAGTTGGTTCCATTTGTATACTTAAGGGCTACCCGCCTTGTTTGTTTTTCTGAAACACAGGCTGTTCTTATTCTCGTAGTTATCCTGCCTCAGCCTCTTGAGGGCTGGGGTTACAAGAGTGTTACCATCAGACTCAGCTGCACAACAACTTTTATAGTAAGCATTTCCAGTAAAATGTTAAATGAAAATTTGTTAGGTTAGTTTCTTCTGGAGATGCTTTCTGACAAAGATGAAAGAAGAAAGAGATTAATTGGTGGGTGGATACATATAGATATGTGTGGAGGTTTGGAGTGACAGAGGCAAGCAACTGGCTGACAACTGTCACAAGGAAGATAGATCACAAGCATTTTTAAGTTCCGTGTCGTAAACTGTTGCACACTCAGAACACAGGCAGAAACAAGCAGTTGGGCAAATAAGTAGTGGTTGCTTATCAGTAACTAAAAACCAAACATAAAGGGTTATTTTTTTATCTAGTCAGTTCTTTGAAAACAAAGCATGTAACAGCTGTAGACATTCAATAGTAAAAGAGTGGGTTTTAGGAAAAGCACTCTTGCAAAAGTTGCTATGAGAAAATTCATAAAGAGAACTTTTAAATGAACAAGTCACAAATAGCAAGGCCAGGATTCCAGCCCTTCCTGACACCTGTCACCATTGCATATCGGCTTTGCATTTCTTCTTCGTGTGCAACATGATCTAAAATTCTCTTGCCCATTTTACTTTACAGTGATTCATATGGTTCCCATACCCACCTCCTGTTTGCCAACCCATCACAGAGATGTGTGGGCTCTACAAAATGAGTACTAAGTCCTTCTGCTTGGGCCAAAACATTGTGAGAGAACAGACTCTTAGCATATATTTGTCAAATGAGAGGTAAAAAGAGGAATGATTTCAATTCTCCAAGAAGGTACATCTAACATGGTAACTGGAGTAACAGGAGTAAGCCTGGAAAGCAATGATCCGAGTAGTGATTATAGGATATTGGTTCATCCATTCTTTCTAAGGGCCACTCAACATATGCAGACCAAGTCATAGAAGGGAAAAAGGGCAGCCAAAAGATGAACCTGCTCCTATCCCTGAGTCTAAGGAATTCACAAGGTCTTAGAAAATTATATTTCTATAACTCTTTATTCCTTAAATATATTCTTCAAAACCCCCTTATTTAAGAGTAACAACAATATAAGCTACTGGAGAAATTTGGGAGGTATTATTCTCTTTGTCTTGGGGCTGAGCCAATCTGTGAGATGTTTTAGTATCCGAAGTGTGGAGCACCCCCAGAAATGAGCCTGTGAAATTTCCTGGAACAAAGTTGCGATGGATAGACAACAAATTGTCAACAAAATTGAGGGTGCTCTGTCGGTTTATGAGGGTGTTCACAGAGAGCCTCCTCACGCTCCATTTCACCTAAAATTTCATACACTAGTTAAATCTAGCCAGGGTGCCAAGATGCACGGTGACCCAAATATGTACCATATTCATTCATGCCCATGTCCACTCATGTGACCTCATTAGATGGAGCTTCAGTCTCTTAAGCAAGGCACAGCTGTGAGTATCACTGAGCACAGGGGGTTGTTGAATAAATACTAAACAGAGCTTCCCTGGAGCTGTATTATCAGAACAGTTGGCTCCACTGGCTCTAAAGGGTGAAGATAATAATTATTCAGTTTAGGTGCCAAGCTCTGGGTAACAGCTAGAAGGCACGTCCTCCAGGGTTGATAACTTATAGGTGTTCCATAAATAAATTCACTCAAATAAAATGAGTGAATGGACAAGTCACAAATGTAAAATCTGCTCCTTAATTCTTCCATAAGAAGAGAATGAGACATCTTACTGAAAGCAAGCTTTAAAGTATGAACATCTGTGTCCCTTCACCAGAAGTCACCAGACTCATCCATGTCAGGTCTTAGATACTGAGAGACGAGGCAGGAAAAAAAATATCACAAAGCCTTTTCTTCATGCTGACTTATTTTTCATTGGGAAGCCATAGAAATATGAGCAGGCTTTTAAGCTTGTAGAAGGTATCTGCTATGGTATTAACTGCTGCTTCCTCTCCCTGTTGTAGGTTTATGGGGCTCCCTTTCCCTGAGATCTTCTGCTTGCAGTCCTTGGGCTAGGTCGAGTCTAAGACTCTTCCCAAGACGTTCTTGGCAGGGAGCTGGACACTGCTGGGATCTTTAGCTCACTCCATACTCTGGCATCCAGGATATGCAATATGCTTATCCCCAGTTATAGTTATTCCTGTCTCTCCTTTCTGTATTTTGATATTATAGCTTCAAGAATATTGTTAATTCCTTTAAGACAAGAAACAGTTTTTGGTTCTTTCTTGTCCCCAATATAGTTAGCCCAATAGTGTGAAGATATTTCTGATAAATACTGTCTTTGAACTTAAATGGAAATTATAAAACTTATCAATATCAAGTCCATGTGGAAAATAGAAAAAAAAGGGGGTGACACTATATTTTTAAATGTGACTTCTTTTAATGGTCATTCGGCTATAAGGCAGATCTCTAGTACTTCTCCTGGTTTTCAACTGAACTAACACCTGCCTCTCTAAGGAGACCATGGACCGACCCCTGTGCTAGAGATGGACATAAACTCACAGGAAGGGTAGGAAGAAGAGCCGCAGCAGCTGTTTGCCTGAATCACTTCAACTCTTGGCCATAAAACAATATATGCTTTTGCCTGTTTCAATTATGTTTCTCAGAACCTTAACTCAAAGTGACACTGACTTGTAAAACCCCGGAGACTGTGTGGGAACACAGCCGTGTGGTTTATTGCATGCATTCACTGGACAAGATTCAGCAGGAGAAACAAAGCCAGAACTCAGAGACTGTGAGCAGCAGGGAGGATCACATCAAGATGGGTCTTTGCCACCTGTCCAGTTCCTTCACTCCTGACCCCATGCACCAAGATGGAATAAGCTTGACCCAGGGTGCTCTTTGCCTACTTCCTGTTTATCCATCTGAGTTTTGGGTCATGTTACTGAGTATAGACAGTGTCTTGTACAGTTTTGGGTGGAAGTACCCCATTTTGATCAAACTCCATGTGGTTTTTTTGTTCACATAATAGGGACAGGTAAACTTTCTGTGAATATTTGTCCTTGTTTTATGTTTGTGTCTCTCCATGCCCCATATATACTCGAAATAATTCACTGGGTTCATGTGCTGTATTTTAACTACTTAGCCTCAATGCATACATCCTCTTTCCCAAAACTCTAGATTTACCCTCTGCATTCCCACTCTGATCTTCAGTGCTTATGAAATGATGGGTGGGTGGCACTGACACAGCCTGGAGATACTTGATCTAATCTCTCCCAGTGCCCTTGATGTCCCATGTTACCTGAGAAGTTCACACTGATTTTATAGCCTACCACCATATTATACTATCTAAGGTTTCATGGAGATAAAGTCTTAAGCCACTTTCCAATCTAACATCTTCCTTCCATGTTTAAGGAAAACTTTCAGTCCTGGAAGATGTGACAAGTTCATCTCAAATCCATTCCAGCCACATCATTTCAACCCTTTGAGGAATAGAAGATACAGTTGACAAACTAAGACTTTTTATTGTTGGTATTTAAAACTTTGACATTTATGGTTTTAATTATTTTCAAATGACTGGACATTTTCAGTTCATAGAATTCTTTGTGTGTGTGTGTGTGTGTGTGTGTGTGTATGTGTGTGTGTTGGCTTGAATTAGGCTTGTAGGCACAACTTCTAAGCTCATGCTTGGAAAAGGTTTCATAGGCAAAGGAGGGAGCCTGGCATGTCTGTCCTCCCTTAGCGTTCTTATTCCCAATGATCTCAACTGTTGGGTAAGAGACCTTCAAGAAGTTCAAGAGTCTTTCATATCCTTCTTGCCAGTTCTCTAACTCCATTTATAAAAATACCCTCAGCCATTTGGCTTGTACCCCCAAATTATTAATAGATGAGTACTATGTTCCTTTAGAAAATGCTTCAATTTCCCAACACAACAAAGATTCTAGCTACCGTCCCCTATACCTCTCTAACTTCACTGCATGAAACCCTATCTTCTGACCACTGAGCTTTTGCCATGTTGAATTTCCTGGTATTTGTTGGGTAGAATTAAGATGTTCCTGATGCTGGCTTCATATGGCCTTCCCACCTGCCATCAGTTCTACCCTTTTACTTTGATCGTGGCTCTCCTAAGTACTTCCTCAGATGTACCCTCCCTGTTCACCTCTCAAATGAAAAGCATCCCTAAAGCTTGTGCCCTCCTATGCAGTCTCAGTCCTCATGTAAATAATTGATATTTAATTGTTCATCATCTGCTCCATACTTGTGGTACATTAGTACCATGAACACAGGTATCTAGCTCCTCCTTCTATTGCAGAAACCCTTAGGACTCATTTTGAGTAGAAGCTTCAGGAAACTCTGCCCATGCTTCAGCCAATGCTCCCACATGCAACCCCCAAAGCCATGTACTTAGAACCAACCTGAGGCATTGAAGCAATATGTGTCGTAGTGGGAGGTGTTAGACGTGAGGAGGATGTACACTCCTGTGTTGTTGGCCGCACAGATAGCGTTAGGGTGGATTCTCGGGATTACCACATTTCCTTCTATGAACCCATACCTGCCAAGGAAAAACAAGAAGCAATAGACATGCATAATTGGGATGCCATTTCATAACATCCCATCAAATGACATTTAATATCGCCCAACACTTTTCTAGGGATGGTAGGGGTTTCAACAACCGAATTATGTAAAACCCAGTAACAACAGCATAGGAGAGCGAGAGAGATGAAGACAGACAGAGGCAAAGCGATTTTATTTAAAGGCTGGAGACTTTTCTTGTTTTTTAGATAAACTTTTTTAAAAGGTCCATGAATACAAAACAATAGTTCCATATAAAATGTAAGGTCAGTAATGTTCTTAAAAGCATCAGGAAGCCTGGATTACAGAAGAAAGAAGTTACACTGTAAGACTTGACACCAAATTAGCTTTATATTTATTTTATTTATATTTAAAAATGACATAAAATGACCCAATCTTCCAGGATAACAAGTGAATTGGCCTTCTGTTCAGTCTAAGACTCCAGACCTGCCTTATTTTGCCATCCTCCTCTTCTTTCCTGTCCTCTCTTCTCCCTTGGGACTCTAATTTATTTACCCCACTATTACCAGCATGAAGCCTTGCTCCTGCGCTGAGCACTCAGCATGTCTGGCTTTGTGACCATCTGAGACCCACGGAGATAAATTTGCTATCATTGAGCTGAGAGCACCAGCAATTATGGAAGTACATGGCAGTAGTTCACTTAACAAAGTTCTCAAGTAACACACACTCCCACACCCCTCTAGGCGTTTCTGGAAGTCTGTTAGGTCTGGGGGCCTTTTCAGATACAATGAACATCAATCACTACCATCCTCAGAAGCACCCTAGTGGCCATAGCAGAGCTATAAAATGTCTCAAAACATGGATGTGGGCTGAGAAGACGTTACTCGAAAGGAAAAACAGCAAGAGAACAAAGAGGGAGATGCTAAATCAGCAGGGTTTGAGATGTAAGATGCAAGCTCCAGTGCACTTTCTTTTCCTTCTTTTAGCCTCTTCTGCAGGGGCAACAGAACCGACGGCAGCACCCTGCAAGACCTGTGGCAATGAGAATGACTTGGAAGCTCCTAGGCTCAAAGTCTCTCATTATGTGGGTGTTGAGGTGGAAGCTGGATGACTAACTCCCCATCCAAACAGACAGACTGGTTTCCCCATAGTCTCTTTAACTCAGTGGTGGGAGGGCACACAATTAAACGTTAATAAGTTCTCATGGACCTGAGAGCTGCCACTAATCAGGGCGGGGCAGACAAGACAGAAGTCGTTTCTGAGGCTTTGGCTGAGCCTGTAGGATGATTCCTTCTGTCTTTTGGCAGATATCCGATTCCTTAACTACCTGAGGAAAATTATGAAAATGAGTTTTGAAACACTTAATACCAGTTATGGGTGCGATGACAGATCTCTAAAGCGGAGGTTTTTTCTTCCTATTTTCTAAATAATACTCAACAGTGAAACTTCCACATCATGTTGACAAATTATGTACATGTGTATGTGTTTATGTATACACACACACACAACACACATGTGTGTGTGAAAGAGAGAGACATTCTAGAGTTGATTAAATTTCTCTGGGTAGGTTATTGTGATTTTTCACCACATCACTCTACCTGACACTTATACGTGCATGTACTCTCTGTGAATTGGGGGCATTAACATTTCTATGTATACATGGCCTCCATGAGTGACTGTCAACAAGGAGGAAAGACATAGTTAACAAGTCCTCGAATCCTCTCCGTTTATCCTCTGTCCCTTGGGAGAGCTTGGTCATTATGCTCAGACAGATCACATGCAGACTGCGACTAAGTACAAACAGTGTGATCCATGACAAGCTGTGAGGCTTGGTTGCTTCCCCTACAAAATGTCTTAGAAATAAACAGGGCAGTTTAAAGATTAAGGTAAAGGATGCCTTTGGGATTCTCCCAGCAGCTTAACATTCTGTATTTTCCCCCTTCTGGCTCTCAACAGGTAAAACAAAACAAAACAAAACAAAACAAACAAACAAACCAAAAAAAAAAAAAAGCCCTATTTCACAAGTATGTCTTAACTGCATTTCACAACCATGGACCAGCTTCCTAAAACCACTTTCTTAGCACAGTGACCTAGTCAGACCTCATTTTAAAACATAGCCTTGGGAGTAGAATAAACGTTTGGCTAACCGGCTATCCATGAAGCTAATGAGTCAGGGCCTATAGCTGTGGAGCCATCAGCTCTTCATTAACATCCCTCAGACGTAGCTCTGGACAGTTACAGACAGATGCCTAGCTGGCAGTGCTCAAGAGAACGCTCTTAAACAATGAAAATAGTCTCTACATAATCTATGCCATTTCATACAGCAGCCACCAGGCAATTGAAACTCAGCTAGTGCCATCAAAAAACTCATTTTCATATAACCTAATTTTAATTAACTTAAATATAACTCACCACATGTGGCTCATGGTTACCATATTAGGCAGAGCAAGAGTCTCAGTTGCCACTCAAGAGGTAGGTGCCTGAGTCTGTAACTAAGGGCTGGAGGTAGACGCAGTTAACTTCCGTTTAATAACTTCCATGAAGAGGACTACACTAGACTTTCTAAAAGCGTTGTTTGCATGTGTGTTGGCACACATGTGGGCACGGAAGGGAAAGGAACTACATTGCCTAAGCTATAGGTGAGGCGGGGATTCATAGCACTTATGAAGACTCTCTAGTTCTTCTAGTGAATTCAAATCACACTAATTACTCAATTGAGGTTGTTACTAAGTCCCTCTTCATGCACACTACTGGCCACAAAAGAAGTATACATACATACACACACACACACTCACACAGTAGAGACAGGAAACATAAAATGTGTATATGTATAAATGTATATACCATATAATATATTATATGTATGATATTATATAGTGTATATAATGTATGTGTATAATATATAGTATTATATATTATTTATATATAATAATAAGTAATATAAATTATATATGTAAAATGTTCCCTGCCTCTAGTGATTATCCTGGAGCAAAATGATTTGATGAAGGTCCTCTGGGGCCCTCTATACCTTGTAAAAGACTCTCAAGGCTTCTAATAATTACTTTAATGTAATACAGCTTTAAAACTTCCGTATCTTTTTACTTAATTTGTCAAACCATAGCAACATAGAAGCTCAACATAAAAGTTCAGAGAGAGGCGGGGGAGAGAGAGTGAGAGGTTTGAAGAACGTGCTTTGTGTCAAGTCTGCACAGCCAAGACTCTGCCAGCTACCTATTTATTTTAAACACTGTTATTTGGCTTGCGTTTTCTTGTGGTTCCGATTATGATACAGAATGCTTCTTCAAAGCCAGGAGAGTGCTACAGGAGCACATTAGGCAAGAGGGTTGCAACTGATATGACCCTAATGGCTTCCTCTGGCCTCCCTCCCTATGATTCACAAAGGTGTCTTTAGCAGACTTTAAATTCCAGTTGTCATACCGGTTTCAGTTTGACTTGGCTAAATTAATAGGTAGGGCTGCCTCTTTAGGGAAGAACTCATTCAACTGTCAGGGAGGAGGCTTCCAGCCATAAGCCCCACCCCGCTCCAGTGGGCTTTTCCCAATGAAGGTACTGGTCTCTTACCTGCAAGTTTCAAACCCCTTACTCAGGGCCACCTCCATCTGGGCCATGGTGGGCAAGGTGCTATTGAAAGCCTGGCAGAGGTCAGCTGCCTCAGTCCTGGAGATACTGTAGCGGCCATTTTTCTCCACATGGAATACACCTGCGTAACGGCAGGTTATATTCAAATCTGTGGGAGGAAACGGAAATGTTAGAGTCTTTTCCATAAATAATTTGCATGAAACCAGATCAATGATAAGAAGTGCTTTTAAATGAAGACATTAAAAAAGCCAAATGGGGCCTTGGGAGAAGCCAAACAGCAGGCTGGGGTGATGGCTCGGCCAGTGAAGTACTTGCCTTACAAGTATGAGAACTTGAGTTTAATCCCTCAAAATTCACACATAAAAAGCTGGGTATGGTGGCCAGTATTTGTAATATTAGGGTTGGATTGACAGGTGGATCCTATAGACTCACTGCCCAACCAGCTTAGCCTTCTTGGTGCATTCCAACCCAATAAGAGACCTTGTGTATAAAAACAAGATAGATGACACCTGAGGAATGAAAGCCAATGTTTTTCTCTTGTCTCAACATGCTTGTATAAACAGATACACAATTGTGAACCTACACACACATGCACACACATGTACACCCATGCATATACATGCATACACATGAAAACCAAGTAATTGCACATGGTATCTCACACTTGAAATTCCACACTTGGGAAGCTGAGGCAGGAGGATCACCTAAGTTTAAGACCAGCCTGGGCTACATAGTGAGTTGGGGTTAACTACAATGTACGACCTTATCTCAGAAATAACAACAAAAATCCAAATAAACGTCACTACTGACACAGCCTTCAAAACTCATTTTGGCTTTCCAAAGATAGATCAAACTTAAATCTGAGATGTGACATTATAAAGGACCCTCAAATCTGAGGTATCATATCATAAAGGATCCCCATCCTTAAAGTATCTTTATCAATAAAGAATTTTTTAGGCCCATTCTTTAAATTAATATAAACTCATAGGAAAGAGACAAAAAAAAATCCAGGGCAGTAATGAAGGAACACAAGCCAACTACTAAGAAAACCACACACACACACACACACACACACACACACACACGCCCGTGCGTGCACACAGCAGTATTTGGGACTCTGTTTCCCACTTCTTCTTGAATTATGAGTGCGTTTCCACAATCAGCTGGTGTTCCTCCTTACCTTATCACTCCTAACACTATATATTCAGCTGCACCCAGAATAAACTTCCTTCTGGTCAAGAACAATGTGATCTGGCTATGGTCTCTCACTCCCTCTCTAGCCTGGGAGCTGCTGGCTCTGCTCCAATTTCAAAGTTTTCCCTCAACTTCACTAGGCACTCTGAACAACTTCAGGCCTGAGAACACAGCCCTGCTTTCTTTTTTATGTGGAATGCTCTGTCCTTATAGTGGCAGGGATGGATCAATTATATTCGGAATTGTCACTCCACGACATTTTCTCTCAGCAGTGACTGAAGTGCCTGACTTTGGGTCTGGAGGCAGAAAGAAGTGTCTTTAACCTAGACTCGGGACCCTCCAAAGCTCAAGTCATTTGCCAACAAGCAAATTGAAGCTAGAGAAAGGAGGTGTCAAAGGAAGTGACTGTTTCTATCTAAAGCCGCATGCTCTGCCTGAACCTCACTTTGTTCTAGGTTTCATATCAGAGTAGATTGTAGTGGGAGAGAAGGGTTTTTTTTCCCCCTAAATTGTTTCTTGATGTCCTGCACTCCTGGGGTTCTGTCATTCATACCCTAAAAAATAAGCTTTGCTTATTTAAATAAATATATAAAAATATATTTAAATGTCAAGAAACAGAAGTGGGGGAGGGGGGAATAAAGCAACTTGCACAAGTCCCCAGCTTTTAGTTGGCTGAGGTGGGAACTCCTCTGGGTGTTTAATCCCCTTACACAGTGTTTTGAACCAGTTTCCCATGTGCCAAGAAGATCCTTTGTGTTTAGAACAGGGGAGAGGCACACCTAAACAACTGCTTCATGATGACAAAAGTGGGCCCATTACTATGAAACTGTGCAGGTGACAGTTTCCTTCTTCTAGAGCAGGAAGCAGATTCTGAAGTATCAGACAGATGCAAAACCAAGAAAGAAGACGCCCTTAAGAAGGCGTAAGCTGATGTCAGTTGGCTTCTTTTCCTTGGTTTCTGTTGTCAGCAAGCAGGTACCATAAAAACAAACAAACAAATCAAAAAAACAAAAAAACATGAAACACTGGAGCCAGAGGAATAAAGAAAGGGTGTTCTGTGCAGTTAATTCCTTATCTATGGGGCCCAGTGTGCTCTCGACAGGCACTCGTGCAATTCTTGGCCGGTTAAGCAATGAACACACAGAGGAAGGAAATGCACAAGGTCCCTTTGAAATGCTATTTATTTTTACTGACATTTGCAGCTTAGGTCTCAGTTGGCCAGTTTCACAAAGGGAACCTGTCACTCAGAGAGACAGCCCTTCCAGGGCCTCTACCTGCTCCAGCATACAGAAGAAAAAAGAGAAATGTTTAAATCAGCTTCTTGTAGGTAGTGCTGCTAGGGTGACTTCAGTCAGATGCCACCTGCCAGCTCCTGGCCCAGGTGGTTGCTGTCAACTCCTAGTTTAAAAATAAAGGCAGAGGCTTGGACAATGGTTTGGAGATGAGAGGCAGTTTCTTTCTTATGAAAATCAATTCTAGCTTGCCACCTGGCAGATTGAATATGCAAATGCAAGAGAACCCAATGCAAGCTGTGACTTTTGAGTAAAATCCCTTGTGTTCCATGTGCAACAACCAATGTGACTTTTAGGACAGTGTGTGGACATATGGTGGTTATTTGCTAAGTGTGCCTGTAATTAACTATGTATGTGCATGGGCCATCAAGGGCAGAATAAGACAGACAAACTCAGCCTTCACCTTGCTACCTTAGCCAGGTATCTGACATACTCCCAGCATCTGAAAAGGGCTGCTGGGTAAATAAGAAATACTCAGAAAATATTAAATACAAGCTTGTGTTTATTTTAGTCTTGTGAGACAGAATCCAGCTCCTAACCCTCATGGCATTTGAACACTTAAGAATTGCAATGATGATGCCCCAGACATCAAAATCAACTACCATGCTGAAAAGCCATCACCTCTAAATCACTCTTGCCTTAAAATGGGTCAAACCTTCAGCTCTGTGTGTCATTTAAGTCCTGGCAATTTATGAAGGCATTCAGGCTCTCCAAGAACGGTGGTAGTAGTAGTAGCAAGTACTTGTGTAGATGCCAGGTCCTCTTACAAGCATTTTAGAAGGGCTAACTAATCTCCTTAAAACACCTCTAAGAGACAGGTAATATTAATCACCACTTTCCAGAGAGAGAAACTGAGTCACAGAGAGAAGAGACTATAGAAACATTCCCAAGATCACCGAGCTGCGATGGTGACGCAGATATTCAAACCCACCTGAACTGGGATCCTGGGACCCACAAGCTTCACTGCTACCTTCTTCTCCGAATGCCAATGTAGGTAACTCTCCTGCTTCTTTATCCTACCAGTGTATAGCGAACACTATTCTCATCATGAAAGGAAGGGTGTGATAAGAGCAGCATGGACCAAAGATCATCTTCAGCAGAGCAAGGGTATCCATGGAAGTGGTGGACCAAGCTTCAAGCAGGGAGGAAGAGCTTCAGTCTATCTATCTGCAGATGCTTCCTCAGAAACAAAAGCCTCTGGGATCTAGGAGTCCTCTACTTGGATGACAAATACTAAGGCTGGAAGAGATAACTCAGTCCATAAAAAGTTTGCTGAACAAACACAGGGTCCTATAAGAAAGCTGGTTCAGTGATACACTCTTGTAATCCAGAGCTGGAGAAGCAGAGACAGACTGATATCCAGGTCTTACTGGATGGCTAGCCTTAGCTTTCACTGTGATCTCCAGGTCAGTGAGAGACACTGTCTTAAAGAAAAAAATAAACAGCTTCTAAGGAATGAGAGATATGTTGTCCTCTGGCCTCTGTATGTGTGCAAACATCTAAACACCTGCACATGTGCACCTATATACACGCATGTACATGTGTGGGTCCAACACACACACACACACACACACACACACACACACAGAGAGAGAGAGAGAGAGAGAGAGAGAGAGAGAGAGAGAGAGAGAGAGAGAGAAGCTAATACTAAATGGTAATTGTATCTCTTAAACAAGCCCTTCCATATGAAGATACATCAGGAATGTTTTCTGTCAAATCCTCTGGTCTCCATTAAGTTTCCTTTATCTTGCAATGACTCGAACTGTTCGAAGATCGTCTCTTAGAGAGACAGAAGGGTCTCAATGAAAGATGTAGATGGGGTCTACTTTCTGATTGAAAGAGAAGCTTCCAGGGACATGCCATTCCTTTTGAGTGCTCATTATGACAAGCTATGAGCAGGGCAGGGTCATCCCTAGGCTCATCATCCCAAGATTCCCCAAGACCAAGGGAAGGAGACACCTGAGAGCATCCATAATATCTGAGAAGGAAATAGCTTAGCTGAGTTCAGATCCTCCCCGACTCTGCCACTCCTGAAAGGCAATACAGCCAGGGAGTTGCTTCGCTTCTCTCGCGCTCAGCCTTGTTGAGGGCACCATGGTACCAATCTGCCAGTGTCTGTGGAACTCACTAAATGAAACTGGTAAAACCAGAGCTTATAATAAATGAGGCTGTGAGCATTGGAGATTTGACAACTGCCTTATGAACTTCATCCAACTTAATTCTCATCTGAGTGTTATAAGGTTAACACATTGGCAAAGTCATTTTTCTACTTAGTTTTGAAATTAAAATATAATTACCTAATTTCTCCCTTCTTCTCTTCAGAGACTCCCATACCATTCTTGCTCCTTCTCAAGACCACCACCACACACACACACACACACACACACACACACACACACACGTTTAATGTTCAATCCGTTTAATATTACTTGTATGTATATGACTTCAAGTCTGCCCACTTAATATTAGATAACCAATTAGAGCACTCATTCTTGAGGAAGAGTATGGAAAACTCATTTTAGAGATGAAGAATCTGAGGCACCAAGTTGTGTCCAAACTCATCCAAATAGAAGGGTCAAACTTCTAATCTGTTGTAGGCTGTGGTTAAAACTCACTCTCAGAAAGGCCATAACTGTCTTATGGCACCATCCACCTTATCTTT